TACATTTGAAGAAAGAAGTATTATTATTATTATATTAGAAATCCTATACTGAAAATGAAATCAATTGAAATCAGTCTGGAACTAAAATTAAGTATTCCATGAGCATACGTTCAACTATATGAGTGAAAAATTAAAGTAAAAATCTCGCTAAGAGGTATGAAGATATAAAGTCTTGTTACGAATTATTCCGAAATCAACATAAAAGTCATATTTATGAAATGAATAGAAATAATTACAAAATAAAAAACACACGTGGTAAATAATTATTGTTCATTCGGTGGCCATTGAAATCGCTATGTAATTATTTCGGAATTTAAAAGTTTTTTGAAATCATTCGGACCATAACATAAATGTTATACTCTCCTTTACTCTTTTTATATTTATACATCTATACGTGAGTTGAATTACTGCTTATTTCGTCTCCACGACTATAAGACTCCGTGGCGCAACGGTAGCGCGTCTGACTCCAGATCAGAAGGTTGCGTGTTCAAATCACGTCGGGGTCATGCCATTTTTTTTTACCATTAATGATTCATACAATTAATAAAAAAATTTTTGCACTGACATTGAATAAGTAGTACTTAATATCCTGAAAGTTCGGTGCAACTTCATCCGAAATAATTTCTAATAAATTTGTGATCATTGCTAATATAAGGGTGAGATTAGATGGAGTCTGGCAATCTCCAGACTGTCAGGGTCCGTACCATATAACTTTTCTTCGCTTTGCGGGCCTATGTTGTAACATAGGCCCGCGAAGCGGAAAGAGTTATATGGTACGGCTCCTGAATCGTGCCAAGTTTAAAATATGTTTCAATATTAATATTTAAAACCTGTTACGTAAGCAAAGAAATAATTATCGTAATACATTTGCGTTTCTGCATTAACTAATATTTATGAAGTTTAAGAAGAAAAAAAAGGCGACGAAAAACGTTTAGTCACAGTTACATATTGTTATACATACCAGGTTACATCAGTGACCCTACTGACCGACTGTGCGATGTTAACATAAATCTATAAAAAAAGTTATAAAATAATATTTGACACGTTTTATTGTAAATGAAATTGATTGTAACTAAGCCTTTATTCTGTTATGACAATAATTACAATTTTTTCTTTATTTTACTAAATTATTCTGAGATGTTATAATTTAAACATAATTTAAATTTAGCGCGATTCTGCCAGCCTGCAGCTGCCAGACTCCATACCAATGTATATTTGTATATACCAGTATTACAGTGACAATATATTTAATACATACTGTAACAGTGTGTGTAAAACTGTGAATATACACTAGCCGATCAGGCAATTCACGTCTTGATAAGGTAATTAATTGACATTTTCACCAGAAAATAATTCAAAGTAAAGTAAGAACTTATTGTAAGTACTTTTGTGAAACCTCACTGCATTTAATATTGTAAAAGTTATTTTCATCAATACATAATTTGTTTTTCAAGACTTCGTCAGACATAACCTTAATTTACTGTAGGAATATTCGCATTTTGTTGCCGGCTTTTTAATCGACAATATTGTGTTTTTAAGGATTATTTTGATTGATGAACATAAAAGTAAATGGGGAAAGAGGAAGAAACAGACAGTAAACCAACGTCCAATGCGACTAAACCAATTGAACAAGAAATGTCTCAAGAAATGGATATGTATCAGGTATGTTTACAAATATAATCATTTATGAAATAATTAAGTGGAGAATTCTTTGTTCAATTTTCAATAGCTCTCAGTACTTTCAAAAATAGTTACAATAAATTTTAAAACCAATTCAACTTTTGTGTTGGTCAACTTTAATTGAGGTTAGAACATGTATGTACATATGTGCACTCATATATATATATATATATATATGTGTGTGTGTGTGTGTGTGTGTGTGTGTGTGTATACAAAAATGTTATTTGTTTGAGTAATTAATGTTAAAACAATCATTAACAATTTATCTGACTTTTGTAGACCATCATTACTTTTGAAGAGGACGAAGCACTTCAGCGCTCATCCGAAGAAGATGCAGAAAGTTTCTACAACACTTGCAATCAGATCCGCAGAAACATGGCCAAGATAGCCAAACTCAAGTCTGTCAGCGAAGCTAATGTAAGAAGATTTAATGCACACATATGTCATTATCCCTAAAGCAACATTTTGATTTCCAGGCAAAAGAGCAAATTAGAGAATTACAAATTGACACTGCATTGGCATTCATGGAGTTGAAAAAACTAAACAGAATGGAAAAATTTCGAACCAAGTCTTCTCGTGATTCTTTAACTTTAGCTAAAAGTAATGTGGATAATAGGCATTTGCAACTGCAAAATTTATTGTATGAGGTAATACATTTGAAGAAAGAAGTTATGAAGTGCTTGCAGTTTAAGTGAGTGTCTTTATACTTTTTGATAACTATTTTTCTTATTTTTTAATACGTTTAAATCTTGATCCGTTTGTTACAGGTCTAAGGACGAAAGTATAGAACTAGTTCCAGAGGAAGAATTTTATAAAGAAGCACCAGAATCTATTTCTAGGCCTGTATGTATATTTTTACATAGTTATTTTATGCATTAAATGAACTTTGTTATCAAATTTTTCTAGGATGTAACTAAAGATGACCCTCACCAAAAAAGATTAGCTAGACTTGAATGGGAGTTGACTCAAAGAAAACAATTAGCTGTTTTGTGTGATGAACTTACGGAAAATAAAAAATCTGTTGCAACAAGTATAGAATCCAAACAATCGCGTTTAGACAATCTTGCACCCCAGATGCGCAGCATACTAGAGGTTACACTTGGTTTTTCTCATAATACCGAATAAAAGAAAAAAAATTAATTCTTAAATACATTTTAGGCCAGTAAGCCATTACAAGAAAGTCTTGGCCTTCCTTTGGACAAACTAAAATTGGAACATCAAAAAGCTGCTCTACTAGCACCTCCATTGTATATACTGTATGCCAAAGCAAGTGCATTCAAGAGTGCCTGTGGTAATTTTTTAGTCCTTATTTTTCAAATATTTTTAATAAAACTGTCAATAAAAAATTTATTTTTTTTTTTATTTTTTTTTTTATTTAGATTCCAGTTTACTTGTTTCTGTAGAAGGTGACGAGGAAGAAGCCAAACGTTTTTCTAATCAAGAGAATAATGTAGAATCTGATTCTGAAACTGATACACAACCAGAGATCGTAGAAACTGAGACTCCTGTACATAAAAAACGGCATCACAGAATTTCAAAAGAAGCTAGACAAGAAGAGAAAAAACTTAAATTACTTCACAAACATCCTCTTAGTGTTAAAATTATTGTTTCGTTCAAAGGCAAGCTGAAGACTCGTTTTAATACTGTATCTTACCATTAGGATGAATATTAATATTTTCTGTTCACAGATGATACAAAACTTAAACTACAATTTTATTATTTAACTGTATTAAAAGTTATAACAGTAAAATCAGATTTACTAACTGTGAATTTGGGAGGAATCAGTGCTGGGTAAGCATCTGACTTAATGCATCATCAAATAAAATTCATCACACTTATTTACTACTTCATCTTTTTAGAGACATGCTTGTTTCCGAATCTGTTTTACGTGAATTATATCCAGGAGATACAGGAATAGAAAGTCCAAATCCTGCAAATTCCTATCAGTTAGCAAAGCAAAAACTTGGAACATTTTTATCTCTTAATCTAGGTACTCCATACAAGTGGGCACAAAGGATGGCTGACCTGAAGTTCATTCCCGTTGACGCCCGAGAACAAAAGGTATTTATTTTATTGCAAATACCGGGATTTCATACTAGTTGGTTTAAAAAAATTTTTCAGTCTGTAGATCCTGGCAGCGGTCGAGACGTCGTTGAAAGTGTGATAAAAGACATTAAAAAACGAGTTAAAGCAAGGCTAGACTTGTGTGCAGAAATACGGCATTTGGAATCTGGCAATTTACCCATTTTGACAGATTCATCTGAGCCAATGCCGCAAAAAATATCGACAGTACTGCACAAATTTATGATTTCGTCATGGAAAAACTATTGTAGCACATTCAGGAATATGGAATCTTCCGGACTCGACACCATCTGTTCCTCAGATATATTTTATGAGGCAATTTTGCGGCGAGAAAGTAGTAAGTTTAACCACATTTACTTAATTTTCATTTTTTGACAGCTTGTCTGAAATATTTTTAATCAATATGGTATGGTTTTCAGATGAAATGGTAGTATACATAGTGATTAAACCAGACTATCCAAAAGTCAGCTCAATCTTTCGCATAAAATTCAACTCAAAAGTACCCGCAAGCGTGGATGCAGTACGTGACATAGAGCGTGAAGTTAACGTAATGTGGGATAAGCTACCTACGTTATCGGTTCAACTTCAACGACTCAGGTCCTGTTTTGATATATATTTAGAGACAGAGAACCTGGTGACCAAGGAGAAGATCTTCTTTAATTCTGTTAGAGGTAGAACGCGAGAACGTCCATACAAATATGTGGAGATTGGTGGAGGTATTTTTACTCATCGCTAGATATGTAATTTTGTACACATGCAAATGTAGAAATTTATTTAATCAATTCATGGCTCTGTCAAAACCACTTTTACGAATCGGATGATCGCAGTTTTAAAATGTCAACGGATTTTAATCTATCATTGGTACTCTTGCATCATACACTTTGTAATAAATAACTTGAGATTGATTTTTTTATTTTTTTTTTATTCGATTGTAATACATATTTTAATATATATATATAACTGCAAATAATTCACATTAAAATATTGCACATTATGTCTACATTGTAGATTTTTCATTTGTAATTTGCCTAATAATTACAAAAACATCAATAACCAACACTTTTTTCTAAGCTCGTGTACGTGGTCTAATAGTTGGTATCCGCGAAACAGACGACAAATAAGTTCTCAAGTAATGCTTCAACCGATTATTTTCTTCAATAAGGTGATTGCGTTTTTGCTTCAATAATATGTTGTCTTCTTTAATGCAACACACATTGTACCGAAAACCTTCGATTTTACGAAGAAAACCAAATGGTTCTTCATTTAATTTCATCAAGTCTGTTGTGGAGTCTCCTAAATGTTTTAACGAATATTTTTTAATCTTTAGCGAATCCGGCTCTAAATCGGAACACAATTTTGCCATCACTTGAATTTCCTCGGCTTTGTTGACTATTTTTTCCAAGTTCTGAAACAAAATTTTCAGTACAGCACTATTAGTTAGATGTGTACTTATAACATGGCTAAATTCATTAAAAAGATTACGCTTTTGTATATGAGCCATATGTGAAAAAAAATAAAAGGAAACACCTAGTTACGTTCCTATAGGTCGGGAGGTAAACTAATTGGGCTCGGCCAGCAATCGGCCATATGGGCAGCTGCAGTTTACTTTCCGACCAAGATGCGCAAACGTTTTATTTTTCGTAAATAGGCTCGAAAGTTTGTGTTTTACTGTTAGAATTGTCAAGGTTATGTGGTAGAAAACACACAAGCTTTCAGCGGAGGTATGCAAAAAAAGGAAGATTACCTTGATGACTTCGGCACTCAGAACACTTAGGCGCTTTAGCTGCATCGAATCCAAAGACTGGCACGTTTTGATTTCCAGTCTCATCTTCTGCAAGCGTCTGGCCAGCAGCTCCGACTGCAACCTCATACTTTCAATGGTCTCTTCACTGTCCTGGCTCAATCTCAGGCTGTTCTTTCTCAGGCATTCCGCAGTCTCTCTCAGCTGTGCAAACGTTCGAGGAAATAGCGAAACTTCGTTCTGATGTATGTTGTCCAGTTCCTTCAGGCATTCGTAATGCTTTCGTTTGGCCTCGGTCGATCTTTCGTAATTCGTTATGGTGTCATTCAACTCCTGCCACAGTCTTTCCAATTTTGGATATATGTTGCGCCGTAAATCTTGTATCGATTCTTCTTTCTGTGTATTAGGGAAATATAATTATTCAATCTATATTTGGTGTGTATGTATGTATACATGTAATATCTCCCTTTCACTTGTTCTTTGGTAAAATTTCAATGATAAGAACTATCCTGTACTATGCTATAATTTTTAAAAAAATAGCCATGCCCTTTTATTATAGATAGTTTTTAATCATTGAATAATAATTTTATAGCTACAAATCGACCAGAGAAAAAAAATCGGAGGCTATTCACCGAATGCACAATACTGTGAATATTGATGGCGTTTTTCGTTTGCAATTCTGACAATTCCTTCTCTATGCTCTTACTTCTGGCAAATATAATAGTTTTCAATTGAAATATGGAATCTTTCATGTTTAGCTTGTGATACTTTAAGTCTTCCAAGTCCACCGTTCGGACCTTCTCGACTGCCTTGGTGTAATTGTTGTGCAGGTAATTGATCCGCTCTTTGCCCCTTTCTACGAGGAAACTCGCAAAATTAATTCATACAGTAAATCACACGATCTTCGACAAATCGACTGACCTATGATCTCGTCCAGAACCATCATGTGAGCTTCCTGAAATCGGCGGTGATCGAAATCCGCGTCCACCAGCTCGTCGTACAATTTCTTGATCAAGTCATCCTTTGTCCTCAGTTGCTCCTCAAAATCTTGGCACAGATGTTTCACTTCGTCCTTCAACTCGATACACTTCATTTTTCGCAAGCTCGTTCGCCATTGTTCGTTTATCTTTGCGGTGTTGATGCGCGCAAAAGCTTCTTCGCGTTTTAATTTATTCTGCGATGTTAATAATGGTAATTTAAAAAATAAGTATTAACAAACAATAGAAATATTATTCAACTTTATTCGTGATTATGCATAGTACCTTGGCAAAGAGCGCTATCAGCTGTTGTTTGCGCCGTCGAGCTTCCAATTCAAGGTCGGCGCGATGCTGCAAATACCTCGCGCGTTCCTCATCGCTCATCCGAGCAAGCTTCGAAACTTTGCCTTTCTTTTTCAGTGGCATTTTATTAGTTAATTCTGAAATTTCTGTTTCTTTTTTTTTTTTTTTTTTTTTTTTTTTTTTTTTTTGTTTTTTCAAAGCAAGGATGCTTTATTTGGAAAATGTGTCTTGCAAGATACTTTGGTCTCACGAGTACAAGTTTGATCAATACTCCGATTTCCATGACTTTAGCTCGTTTGCGCTCTAACTCGCATTGAAGGTAATTGACGTGATTTCTTCAAAACGTCGTTATACATACATCGGGATGAAAAATAATGGGTAGCACAATTATTTATTAATGCAATATTTATTACAAAATACTTCAGTCTTTATCAGTCGATCATTGTTGTTTCATTGGTTACAGTAATGTAGGAACGCATTTCGTCAAAAATAATAATCGTTCATGATAAAAAATGGTTTATTAATGACTTTTATCAAATGTTTCAATATAATCCAGATACATCGATGTATCTACATGTAGGTTCAATACCTTATAAATGCATACGAAAATATTTATTAATCGCTACAGGTGTATAACAAAATGGAATGGTACACGTACTTCCTATATTAAATACTCTTATCACTTAAAAATATATCTATGTTTGCTTGTCGTTGATATTGATTTGGTGTGCGAAAACAATTTCAAAAATATATCGATATAACGATGAACAATAGCTCCCATCCTGAACACATTTACCCTGAATTATTCGAGCTCAATTTCAATGATCAATTTCCGCGATCATCTCGAGATTATCAATCAATCAATCACGCAACCACCACCAATCGTCAACAGTTTTTCTGCAACGGCATCATCCTGTTATCTATTACCAGTGGTCTCTCTTTCACCGTGGATTTGAAGCTCTGCGTTCGTTTAGTCGTGGCTAGCTGTGATCCCAAGAGGATCTGCGCCTCTTCGGCTCTCCTCGCTTTTTGTATAGCCGTTTGTAGCTCAACGTTGAGATTTTGTTTTTCCGCCTCCAACTGCTCGAGACGCAACTCGGCATCTTGGGGGAAAAAAAATCGAGGTATTATATACAATGTAAACAAATACTCATTATACACTAGATTGTTTGTTTTTCTTGTACCTCGCAATCGTTGTTCGTTATCCTGCTGCTTCAATTCGAACTCCTGTCGCTTGAGTTTTTCCAATTCCAAAAGCTCCTGCTGTTCCTGCTGCAAAATTTCCAGTTTTTCCCTCTTCTCCCACTCCTCGCGCAAAAATCTCCCTTGTAAGCTCCTGACTGCCAACGTACGCAGGATCAACGGTTACATTATTTGTTTCTTTGATATTTATAATGAAAAACAAAGAAAAAGTTCAATAACTTACCAATTTCCTCGTCTCTAAGAGCCTGTTTCTCCTCGTACAAGCGTATTTCCAGTTGTTGCTTAAGCTCCTCCAATTCCTGAACTTTGGCCAACTCTTGCTTCGACAGTTCCGTTAGTTCTTTCGCTTGAACCTCGGCGGCTATTCTCGCCTGGCGCTCCTGCTGCAGCTCCAGTCTCGTCTCTTCCTTTTCCTGCTTGCTCGCCTGTTTGCGCAACACATACCAGGAATATGCCAAAGTCATGAGCCAACGGCTTGAAAAACAGGGGAAAAAAACGCAAAGAAAGCTATTTATACCATCAATTGTAAAAGTACCTGGCGCGTCGACCTCCTTTGATTGGCCAAGCTTCTCTGATAGCTGATTTCCTTGTTTGAGTGCTGGATGGCAATTTGCAGAGCCGACATCCATTGCAACCTACCCCGATGATCCTCGGCAATCAGCTCGACGCACCTCTGTTCCGGCATATTGAGGATAAATCGCCTGTCGGGCTTGCCGCTAATTGTCACCGCGTCCGCCCAACAATTCGTGGTGAGCGATATCACGCCACAGGGCTCTTTCTGATGGGAATCTTTGTAGTACGACAACTCACCGGGACGCAAAACGTACCACGAGCACTTTTGGCTCGGCAGAAGGAGGAAGCCCTTTCTTCCCAAGTAACCCTACAATGACAATGTACATGTGTATAACTGCGAGTGATTGCGAAATGGCCTCAATTGAACGTAACGCGGGAGATAAAGACCTTTTTAATCACGTCTTCGACATATGTTTCGTACAAATCGTCGATCGCCTCCGTCAGGCCGTCAATATCCGAGGAACTTCCACCGCTGTACTTTGATTCCAGAACTGCCAAAAATATCGCAAATCTGTGGGAAAATATGCATTTATTAATAAAATGCTCAAATCAATTACCGTAATGTTTTCAAAGGAATTTTTTTCCTGCAGCATACCTAAACCTTCCAATCGACGATGATAGCGCTGCAAAATCCTCAGCATCCCAATGAAGTCCCAACGACGTCACCAACTGCGAAGCGACTCGAGACAACTCGTCGCTGTGCATAGTTACCTGAATATAAAATTAATTATTATCTTATGAAATATGAAAATTATGTATCTTATCCCGATAAGTAAACTTCATCGTATGAACAATCGTGTAAAAGAAAAATTTTTCGAGCTTACGAGATAAGAGGTGTCCATTGGGTCGGCTTCCATTTCGGCAAGGAGGCAGAATACTCTGAACAACTGGTAAACGCTGTTATCACGGAAAATTGCCTGCGGCCTGTCCAAGTAACTTTTGTGGCAAACCAGCCAACATATCTCGTCGATCCCTCCCTGCAAGTTTCGATACTTTTGCCGAGTCGTTGCATCTGTCAACGATGAGAATACCTAAAAATGTTATGTGCACAATAATATCGTAGTTAATTAATCGATTTAAAGATTTTTTTGAGGGGGAGTGATTGTGTAGCACGTATGCATATGTACCTCTTCTTGTAAGTAGTAGATAAATTGCTCAAAATTCAAAGTTGAGGTGCTCCGGTAATGATCCAAACCTTTTTCTACACCGTGAAGATCCATGAGGGTTCCAATGTTTGCTGTTAAAACCTGCAATAAACACATGTGTGATTTGATCGGGTTTAAATGAAAAAGAAAAGCAAAAGATTATTTATCCTAGATTCAACTAACTTGGAATCAAATGTGAAACAAAAATAAATAGACACAAAACATTATCTCGAAAATGCTTCCGTTCTCGTTAACATAGCATCAAAAAAGCCAGCACATTAATATTAATGTATCGTTAAAAAAACCGTCTACAAACATGTTATAAGTGTGACAAATGTCAGTGACGGCTCCGACCCAAGTTATCGATCGGTATTATATATTTCTACAAATATTATCAAATTTTACAGAGATAAGGGGAAAGCATGAAAGTTTCCTTTCTTATCTAAATTATCAAAGCCTTTATGATCGAAACGCACGCTTTCCCGAATTCTCATGACCTTCCTTTCATTGAAACGCACGCGTTTCGTTAGCCTGGAAAATTCCGTACCTACTTATTCCATCCATAAAATTTATATATTATGTACCATGAAGTGTACACCGGATTAACAATAATATCCGTGGTGTACCCTAGAAAAGGGGGACTACAGCGATAATACTACTTACGCGCGCATAATCATAATCACTTGCGCCTCGGACGATCAATCTTGATAACACGACTGGTGCAGGAGAGCAGCATCAGCACAAATGTAATTCCCTCGCGCATGATTCTTCGTAAACGCGAGAGATGAATCATTTGGTAAGTAAGTATATATAAAGGAATAAAGTAGTGGTCTCTGTGGCCATCGGACGTTTGAAAAAAGGCGCACATGAAACTCATTTGTTGTCGCAACAACTAGGTACTTACTTTTACAAGATATGAGTCACTTACGGATAGGCAAACATATATACATATATGAATAAACGAAACAACTTTGATTGTAAATAAACTTACAAGTATACTAACGTTCTCACCTTACCTTGTAACAATATACTTAATAGTAGATACACGATTTCTCATCAGAGTTTCGATATAGCTCGATTTTCTTTTTCTTTAGTGTGATTTAGCAAAATGAAAGGGGAGTTAAAGGATGGTAAATGATAAGTACTTTTACAACTTTTCTTACTTACTTTGAGCTTTGATTTAGAGACTATGCCCGGCTGCATCTGACCGTCTTGCTGTAGTGCATAAAATGCGTGCCAGATGCTATTCGACATGTTCTTCAACAAGTGGGTCATCTTTCCTCCCTTTGTTTCTTAATTTCTTATTTGTTTTATTTTTTTTCTATCCGATGACGCGCACTTGTTAATCTCACTTTAATGCACACACACTCGTCCGCTTTATTAAAAGGTATATTGATAACAAACACTGTAGCTATTGTCCGTATACAAGGGAGCAACAGGTGATCTAGGACATATTGTCACATAATATCACATAATGTCACATAATTGGAGCACTACTAAACATATAATTTAAATAAGCGTACCGAGTACCGAGTAGTTGTTAGCTATTAAGTACACGAGGTACCAAGTACCAAGTTAATTTTACTGACCGTATCGGTGCCATGTATCGTGCCGTACTGATGAGCAATTGAGCAGCAACAGGCACACAGGCTGCAGTATAGTCACAAAAAAGAGAAAGAGAGCTGGAACTCATACACCTATCGGCTTGAGCTATACTTCATACTTCTTACTTAGCTAACGCCCATATCATCATATTATACCCGACTTACCGAGTGCTCGAGAAGAGAGCAGAATGTACAACTTGTAGGGGAGAACGGGGTGAGTTCGTCCACATACTAGCTTCTGATATAGCTAACATTTATTTTTTAACCTGATGAATACTCGACAAAACTATTTTTCGCAGTGAAATAAAAAAAAAAAAAGTGGTAAATATATCTGACACCTGACGCTTATGCGTTATTATTTAAATCTTTATTAGTTCATACAGTGCCCAGCAACGGCAGCAAGTGCCTCATCAGGTCACAGACAGAAACAAAGAAACTGTATGCAGAAATTGCAGAAGTTGGGTTTGGAATTGCAGGTTTTGGTAATTGTATGATGGTGGTATTGAAAACGGTCAGCGCCATCTAGCGATGCTGATTAGAAACTGAAAAGTACCATATTTCTTTTTTTAAGAAATTCACTAAGAAAACTTACTACGGCTGAATGTCCGTGGCGGAGGGTCTATTGTAGCCGATCTACTAGACCCTCCGATCATTTCCTATAAATTCACTAAAACTTGCGAGGTTACAGTGTCCGTAGCGGAGGGTCTATTGGAGCCGATCTATTAGACCCTACGCTCACTTGGTAAAAATTTACTGGGTCTAATGTCTAGTGTTAGTGCTATTTGCGGCTAGCTTGCAATTTATCTTTTATCCGAAAATCTTCCTCCAAAAGTATGAATATATAGGAGGTCAATTTTTGGACAAAAGATAAATTGTAAACTTGCCGCCAATAGTGCAGAAAATGTCAACTTATTATTTTTTATCTGTAACATCAGTTGCGACTGGTTTATAATTAACTAAATGGCTCTAATCCTGATTGCTCCAATTGAGAATTTTAGAGGCCACTTTTCGCTCAAAAATGAAGACCGCTAGATGGCGCTGATCCAAATAATTATTGCTATTTCCAGTNGAATTAATCAGTCTAAAAGAGACAACTGAAGAAAAAAAATCCTAAAAAAGAAGCACAGTCACACTAAGAGTCTCCTAAGAATGAAGCATTGGATCTTACTAAATAAAAAATACATTTATTACAGAGAAGTAAATTTGAAGTATTATAAATAAACAAAGAACCCAACATTCCCTGATTATGTGAGATCCAATGCTCCATTTTTAGGAGACTCTTCCTGTGTGACTGAACTTCTTTCTTAAGACTTTTTTCTTCAGTTGTCTCTTTTAGACTGAGTACTTTTCGTATCTATTTATATAAGTTAACTGTTTATTTAAACTATAAAGTAAAAGGGCTGTGATTCCGTGAGTTAATGGTAAAAGGTCTAAAGTATTGTAATTTTGTAAATAGGGTCGATTTTATAAGCCGTATAAGATAAGTGGAATATTTATACTTTTCAGGGTCGATTTACAGGTAAAATATAGGTTGTAAACTTGCCGCAAATAGCATAAAAAATGTCAACTATTCATTGTCCATTTATAATATTATTTGCGGCTGGTTTATAATTAATAAAGTGACTTTACTGGAAATAGCAATAATTATTTGGATCAGCGCCATCTAGCGGTCTTCATTTTTGAGCGAAAAGTGGCCTCTAAAATTCTCAATTGGAGCAATCAGGATTAGAGCCATTTAGTTAATTATAAACCAGTCGCAACTGATGTTACAGATAAAAAATAATAAGTTGACATTTTCTGCACTATTGGCGGCAAGTTTACAATTTATCTTTTGTCCAAAAATTGACCTCCTATATATTCATACTTTTGGAGGAAGATTTTCGGATAAAAGATAAATTGCAAGCTAGCCGCAAATAGCACTAACACTAGACATTAGACCCAGTAAATTTTTACCAAGTGAGCGTAGGGTCTAATAGATCGGCTCCAATAGACCCTCCGCTACGGACACTGTAACCTCGCAAGTTTTAGTGAATTTATAGGAAATGATCGGAGGGTCTAGTAGATCGGCTACAATAGACCCTCCGCCACGGACATTCAGCCGTAGTAAGTTTTCTTAGTGAATTTCTTAAAAAAAGAAATATGGTACTTTTTTAGTTTTTAATTAGCATCGCTATAAATGATACTGATTGTAAATTGAATTAGCCATTGGCCAGTCCCTTTTATAGTAGTGCCTCAATTTCTTAAAAATATTGTCAAATAAGTATTGTTGCAAGTTGTCAGCATATGTAAATGTAGTACGTACAGTACTTTTCGCGAAAAAAAACAATTAGAGTATATGTTTAATGATTACCAAATAAATAACTCGTACGTATTTATTAAGTGTTTTGTTTGTGTTTAAGTGAAAGAGACATATGTGTACAGAAAATGTCTTTAAGACGATTTATGCATGAGAAAAACAGGTACAAAGAGGAACCGAATTTCAAGCAACTTGCTATTTTGTATCCTGGATTCCGCAAGATTACTATTACTGTAAGTTTAGTATTTTTTTTTTTACTAGTTTCAAAACGATAATAGCACACAACGAATCCTTTGTTTCTCTATAGGATGTGTCAGGAAAGGTAAAAATCAATTTCAAAGATGTAGAAAGTTTAAGAGTTTTGACCAAAACGCTGCTGGCCCATGACTTCCAGTTAAATGTAGACATACCTCCGAAGCATTTAGTACCTGCGCTGCCATTAAGATTGAATTATATTTTATGGATTGAAGATCTTTTAAAACATATTGGTATTGATGATCTGACATCTATTCATGGAATAGATATTGGTATGTGTTGCAAAGGTTTTTTTTTCTGTGTCATGATTAAAAAGTTTCAGTAAAAATTCTTGCGTACACCTCAGGTACTGGTGCTTTGTGCATATATCCCTTGCTTTTTGCACAAATTTATAAAAGCAATATGATTGCCTCAGAAATAGATCCAGAAAGTGTTGATTCTGCATTGAAAAATATTGTAAACAACAATTTACAAGACCTCATAAAAGGTACTCGATATACAAACAGCTTACTTACAGTCAAAAGGGAATGTTCAACTTTATTTTTTTCACGTTGCAGTTGTTCTGGTCAATAAAGAATCAATCCTTAATGAGATTCTGCAAAAAAATGATACATATGATTTTTTAATGTGTAATCCGCCATTTTTCAAGACTGACAAAGGTTTGGGAAAGAAAATCAAACTGGAACCACCGAGGAATGCACCCACTGGTAATGAAGGGGAACTATCAGTTAAAGGTGGTGAAAGAGAATTTATTTTACGCTTAATTAATGAAAGCCTTGAGCACAAGAACAAAGTAAAAATTTACACTACCATGTTTGGCCAAAAAAGTACCTTAGGTTTTTTAAGGGCTGAGTTGTCAAAAAGTAACATTCATAATAGCACTTGGACAGAGTTCTGCCAAGGTTTTACTAAAAGGTACATGGTATATTCTGCAATGAACGAAAAAAATTTTTTTTTTTTAACGACCGTGGTTTTATTGCAGATGGGGGATAGCTTGGACATTTGCACTGCAAGAAGAAATAAACTTAAAGACTGCACCTGTGATAAGAACAAGGACTGAAGTACAGAAAATAAAGAAAAACAAATCTATGGAAATAGTTTTTCCTGCCAAAGAAAACTTGAGTTGTCTAGATGAAGTTGTCTCTTCCTTGAAAACATGGATAACAGAATTACAAGTAAGTTTACGTATAAAAGTGTGCAATTGAACAATTTTCATGATATAATATATTTATTATTTTTCTTAAGAGTATCATCAATTAAAGTCATTTTTATCGCAGATTGAAATAAAAGAAATAGAATTAGATGATGATGATTGTTGGGCTTGTCAACTCAAAAGTTATAGTGACACATGGACTCATGCGAGAAGAAAACGACGTATGTTTATGTGTGGAACACCTTTAAAAAAGCAATGCCTAGACGAAAGTGCTAATTTAAATAACGCAACTAAATCATCAAAAGGCACTGATTTAGAATTAACAAAAAACGAAGTTACGGCTATAGATACTAAGGAGCCAATTTTAGTTTGTACTCTTCTTGTTGGAGAAAAGTACGAAAATGACAAAGAAGACGAAAATAAAGATGACAGTGAAAGTGATAGCACAATTAATAAAAAAATGCTTAGGATTTGTATGGTGTTTGAAAGCGGCACTGGTGGTAAATTAAACCTTGAGACTTTGCGTCAGTATCTAGTTAATAAATTAAATATTCGTGAATTTTTTCGCAAACAACAACCAAGTAAACCAAACAAGAAAAAAAGGAGAGAAAAAAAGATGGGTAAAACAGCATGGAATACAATTGTAGACCTGAAATAAAATTACGTTGTTTTTTTTTGTATAAAATTGTTTATTGTTTTTTTCTTTGTATATATAAAACTGCTAGTTACAAATGATATTTTATGTAATTTGGTAAAAAAAAAATTAAATTACGTAAAATGTTATTTGTAACCAACAAGTGCAACACAAAGTGTTTCATGTGACTAACCAAAGTAAAACAGCAACAACTAGTGAGGTCTTTTTTTCTGACGCACCAAATGCTGACGCAGCTTTAACATTATCTTTGCACTATTTAAATCTCGAATTTAATACCCAGTCTGATTGATAGGTGAGATATGTCAGACTCGCTTTTCGGACATTTTAGTCAGGATTACGTTATGCATTATTTTTCATTCGATTTGCAAGTTTCTTTACAAGTCTTTGTTCATTTTTTTAACAAATCGTGCAAAAAATAAAATTAACATTTGGTAACAATTCAATTAACAACTTAATCACTACAACTAATTACAATACGATACGCTTATCTCTAAAAAAATTGAACACTACGAGAAATCAGAAGTAACTTTTTGCTAATTATAGTTTATTTGGTTTTTCTTCTTTATTATAAAATGTCNTTTTTTTTTTTTTTTTTTTTTTTTTTTTTTTTACCAACCTAACTACATCACCTTATTGTATTATATTTCCGGCATTCCCGCTGAGTGTAAAAGAAAACCTATACATAATCAAACGCAAAACAATTGAAACAACTATCCTATCTGTGTAAATAAGGAACAAAAACTTTTTAAAAATTATTATATATTTAACCACGTTGAAGGAAGCACTTTGGTGTTTTTTCTAAGCAATTATTGATATTTTTGTAATCAAAACGTTTCTCTGTTTAAAGCACGCTGAACAAATACACCTACTTCAAAGTGTATTGTATAATGATAGTGCTTAACTCTTGAAATGCATAGATTTTTTCCAATGCAATTAAAAATTAGAAATATCAATTTTTGTTTGTTTTAAGTGCAAAAAATGTATTTTGACATGTTGAAAGTAATTATGGATTGATCGGGGATTATTTTTTAAGACAATTTAAATTGCGTAATAACATAACGCATTAAAATAAACGTATAGTGACAAAAAACAGTGTTCATAACATTTCAACTATTCCTCTATTTTCATACAGCTTCTATCTCATTTTTCATATGATGATAATTGATTCAAGGTTTAGAAATAATATATACCTGATTTCGCGAATCGTACTCCGTTAGAAATAATTTTACAAGTAAAACTTTTGTTAAATCAAAAACAGTATACACTGCCAATTGCGTATATTTGATAATGGGTGATATTTTTAGCCGTCTTAGATATCACTTTAATAATCCATTATATTTGATTATTTGCGCAAGAATCTGACCAGTTGTGAGTGTGATCAGGATTGATAGCAACCCTGTCATGAGACAAGAAAAAGTCGGGCATCAAAATACGTATTTATCCACAGATTCTGTATAAGTATAGCTATACAAAAAAGCAGCCTTATTCAGTAAATTTAAAAAAATTAGGTATCAAACAGTCATTGACTTATTTCAATCTCTCTCATTCTCCTTTCAAAAATCCAATCAAAGCTCGCACAGTTACGAAAGCTTCATCTCTATGAAAAAAAGAAGCAATTCAACAACTACGTATCGTTGTAATAAAAAAAAAAAAAAAAAATTACCGGCAACTGTAATAATAGCATTAGTAATAATCATCGTCTAGCTCGCGATCGCAAGTTCCCCCCTACTGAGAAAGACTAGGATGTACGTTTGTTAAAAAATCGTGATAAAAGTGGCAGCGATTGGCACGAGTCCAGAAACATGAAGCTCAGCTCTCGACCACGTTACTGGCGAGCTCCTTCTTCGGCTCGTCGTTAGCCGTGAGTGCGGCGTTAATCATGTCGAAGGTCGTGACCGTTGCCGAAGGCTGGCGTTTCGCCATCTCCGCCTTAAAATTCTCGATATCTTGTTGGCTTATCTGAACAAAGAGAATTCCATTGATGACATTGAGCATGTCCAGGACGCTGCCCATGCTGGGTGGTTGAATCTGGATGGGTGGCAAGCTTACGCCCGTCTTGCCCGTGTAAATCTCGTTCATCTTCTTCTGGAGCACGACCGCCTGCTGGGTGAGATGGCGCAAGCAGTCGCTACTCTCTTTTGTCTTCTCGTGCTCCTCGCCGAGCTGCTGCTTGTAAATGGCGTAGGTTTCTTTCTCGTTGTTCAAGGCCGCGCGGAAGTCGCCCATACACGACTGAGTTCGCGCGACCAAGTGATAAGAGACGGCGACTTTTAACGATCGTGGCCCATGATAGCGTAAATTCAAGACGAGTGCGTGCTCCAAGAAGCGAAGTGACAACTCGTACTCGCCGACCGCGTGCAGAATAAGTGAAATATTGCTCTAGAAATTATGATATTTGTTTTATTTAGCAACCATTGATGGAAGGTTGTCAAAGTATACTTACGTCGAGTAACGCTACTTCGGGATGATCTTCACCACATACGAGTAATGCGAGGTATCTGGCTCTGTACAAAAGTCGCAGCGACGCCGAAACCTGACCGTTGGCAAATGAATATAAGGCCATGTGAATCTAAAAAAAAAAAAAGTTACATGGTATTTCTGTAGTTAAAAGTACAATATAGTAAGAACAATGTTAAATAGTGCACTAACATATTCAGTTATCGTGTAAGGATGATCGATGCCGTTGACTCGTTCTGACATGAGGACGGCTTTCTGTTGGGTCGCAAGAGCTTCCGCGTGATCGCCCATAATGTAGTTCAGTCTGGCTAGCATTCTAAGACACTGTGCGATTTCAGGATGCATGGCCCCGTAAACGTTGTTTAGCAAGTTTAGGGCCTCGTTGATTAGCTCGTAACCGTCCTTCAAGTAACCTTGCTGAATTTTGTTTTGGCCGGTTGTGTAGAAGTTGTAAGCATCGCTAGCCTGTTCATATAAATTTCAATTAATTCGATGAAACTCGTTTATTGTTTATCATACAAGATGATATTTATAAATGAGAGTAATTGTGCATATTTTACCCTAGGATTGATGTGTTTGACAACTGGGAAGATGTTGAGAATATCCTCTTCAAAGAAAGTAGCTCGGTTTCTATTCTCGAAATTGTACTCTCTTAGCAGGATTTGAATACCTGTTTTGACGCAGAAAGCTCGAAGTAACGAGATCTTTTGTAATTTGAAGTGTTCAATTGCCACATCCACAGACTCGGGTGTAGGGCACTCCCAGTCATAATAGCTCTTTAAATCAGCCTTCGTTTGCTGCCAGAGCGACTTGGATGTCAGAGATGCCCATTCTACTTCGGACTGAGTAGGGCCGTTATTCCTGCCCTTCCTCTTGTTGCGACGCTTGGCTGTTTTGCTTTGTAACTCTTCGAGATTTTGTTGTGGATGGATGACTTGTGCCGATGATAAGAAACAGTTTAAAAAGTGACTGATGGCTGCAGATTGACTCATGAGTTCGGTACCCTGTATTAAGAGAATTTCTTATAATCTTTATAAAAATCATCAATTTAGTCGTATATTGTTTATTGTTGTTTACCTGCATGTAGGATGTGAAAATGTGCTTAACTGATCTAAGTATTAACTCAGAAACAGCTATACGATGAAGATATTGTAAATGAGGAACTGCAGCTAGCATAGCAGCTAGCTTACCGAGATATCGAACATTAATGCCTCTGCCATGTAGGGATTCTACTAAGGTTGTGCCATCCATGGCAGCTGGTGTGTGGTCCAAACATTCGCGTATCTGCGTCAAAAGTTCGATAATCATTTCTTTTCCCAAGTGTTTTTTTATGAATAACAAAAACTTACAAAAGTCGGCAGTTGGACGGTAAGTAAAAAGTCTGCTGCGTCTATGACGAGCTGTTTTTGTTTCTTCAAAGCTGGTCCACTGGGATCCGGATGGCGTACACCCGGTGAAAAAACATCTGGATTAAATTTCACATCGAATTCCGTCTCGCGCAAGCTACCGACGGCAGCGGCTGCTTTGCGTACTATTTCCTTTGTACTATCTTCTACTGTAAAATTATTTTGAAAAAATAAAAGTATGGAAACCAATTGTTAATAAAAACAGTAATTAACACGATAATATGCTATTATTACATTCTTGTTTCTCTCCTCCTGTTATGGAATCGGTAATGCTTTCGACGATTTTTTTCGCTTCGTCAGCTTCAATCGACGATTGCACCGAGTTCTCTTTATTGCTATCGACAATTGCAACGCTTTGCTCCTCTTTTTTCTCTTCCTGCGATTACGAGCAAAATCATTGATGCGCTCATATATATATATGCATTGTTTCGCCGTCACTTATTCATCTTTATAGACTCGTAAATGCACTTACTTTAGCGCTGTTCTCCTTTTCTTTTTGGACTCGCTTTGCTGATGTAAGCTGTTGCAAGTGTACCGCGGCGTGCTGGATAAACTGTACGTATCTCGTTTCTACGAACGAATCAATCAGTTCTTGGCGTAGACAGGCGAGTTTGTGCTTGTGTTCAACGGGAAAACCTAAAGCTCGGGCTTCCTTGCTCAACTCAACGCCTTCCACTGAAAACAAAGACAAATAATTTTTTTAAATAACGTTTAGATTCTCAATAACGTCAAAGTTAAACAAGACTTGCATTTTAAAAAATTAACGTCTGGTGGAAACGTTCGCAACAAGTCCAAAACATAATGACGAGAGTCGTTGCCGATAATGCCCTTGCATTCCACGCTGCTGCATAGTTCGATTTCTTCGCCAGCGTCGTTGATAACTTTGTGCGGAAGAATTTTAAGTTGCTGGCCGGCTTTATTGAGCTAAATGTAACAACATTGTCAGATAAATGTAATTGTATAGGCATTAAAAAAAATGTGTTCATTTACCAATTCAAGGTATTTCGGATGAGTAAGGACAGACTTTCCAAAATCTATGGAACCGTAAACAACGGATTGCTCCTGTTCACGTTCCAAAATTCCTGGGATAATTGATTGTGCAGTGACGCGATACCCCCTGAGTTAGAAATAAAATAAAATAAATTGAAAAAATCCAATACACTCGTATTAATAAAACAGCCGAAACGCACCTGTAATCTATAACAACAGTGCCAAGTGTGTAGAGGCCCGGAAGATCGACGGCGGCGTACACTCTGACGCCCTGCAAATCGTTGCGCGGCGCGACAAAGGCCGCGGCATCTCCGCCGAGCTCTTTGTAGTGGTCACGAACATCAAAACCGAGCGAAAAGAAAATATTGTTCCAAATGAACATCTGCATTTTCGGCTCCTCGCCCGGATTGATGGCCATAACGTTGCCGTCGATCACAGCCACTGCACCTCGCGTAGCCGCTGCCACAAAGTCACTGTGCACCTAAGTTTTTTTTTTTTATTACAAACATTCGTCGGATATAAATTTTATGCGAATGCGTGCTAAAACAAAAACAAAACGAAAGTAGGTATACCTTGAATATAGCTCGTTCCCTCAGCAGGCGCTCCGGCAAATTTTTCCTTGGCAACTCCCTCGTCGTCTGGAGTTCCTCGTTCCAGTCCCTGGTCTGGCCGGGAATGTGCTCCTCGTAGCCCAACTTTGAGGAAAAAGCTGTGAAATAAAATAAAAAGATACCCTTGATGAGGTACAAAAATTCGTAATAACAAATTATAATACAGTCCCGGTGTACTTACTGTCTTCGGCTCGTATGGCGTCAATGGTATGCTCGCACTGGGGCGCGCTCCAAGCGTAGAGCTGATAAGGCGTGGCGACGCGCTCGAAGGGATGCCTCTGCGTGCGGCGCCTCTGCATGGCAGCAAATCCGCGCTTGAAGGCCGGACTCAGCTGATTGAGCAGCTCGATCAGACTGTGACAGAGGTGACTTGGTGCCGTGGGCTTGGGACTAAAGGTCTCTTTGCTCGACTGGTTGACAAAGAAGCCGCGCGCGCAAGCCGTCAGGTAGTAGTGCTTGTCCTCGAGCGTGACGACGTGCAGGTACATGAGATCACCGTGAAGCTTGCGATAGCCCGGCGGGGGATTCCAGCCCGAAGTAGTGAGCACCTTGATGCACGGGGGGCACTTTTGCTCCTTAGCCTGGGGCTGGAGGGGCAGCAGGGGCCGTTCCCTGCAGCCGGGTATTATGTAGTCGGGCGGCGTGCAGTCTACCGAATCGGCCCGCGACTTTTTCTTCTCCAATATGTCCCCGTTAGTGACGACGTTCAGAAAGGACAGGCTACTGCACTCTACCCCGTTGTACGCGTCGGCCGGGTCGACTGACTTGAGAAGATCGCGCACGTGCCTCACGTGGATCCGTGCCTCCCGCATCGTATACGGCTCCTCGACCACTCTTATGATCGAGCCCTCCTTCAGGCCCTCGATGTTCTTCAACTCGGCGAAATTGTCGAGCGTATTGCCGTCTAACTGGAGCGAGAAGCAGGTACGGTGACACGTGTCCTCCCGGTCCATCAGCAACTGGTGAATCTCCTGCGTCAGCAAAAGGTATATATTAACGCATGTTAACAAATGCACAACAACGGTAAGATTAAAAAAAAATGATAATGTTAATAACCTGGACGAGCTCCATGCTCGACACCTGGATGTCGAAGGGTTCGGCACCCGGACTGACGATTTTAACGGTGAAGCCCATGTCCTGGATAAACACGACCTCCTGCTCGTTGGAAGCCTCCTTGTCCTTGTCGCTCTCGCTCACCTTTTCATTTTTACCTTTGGTGCTGACGTTGTTATCACCGTCGACGTCATCGTCCTCGTCCTCGGCGACTTTGTTCTGTTTGTGCTTTTTTTTCTCCTTCTCGCCTTCCTTGGTAGCTTCGACTTCGCCCTTCTCGAGGACATTTTCCACCGAGTTGTTGTTTTTGTTGTAATTGTTGTTACTGTTGTCGTTGCTGCTGGCGCTCTTCTCGCCGTTTTGCTTTTCCACTGGCACTGTTGGCACACAGACGAAATTTCGAAAATTCAGTACAAGTATATACTCAGTCAATAACCAGCATTAACACGGCTCCAACAACTTTTTACGCATGTTTTTTTCCATGCTAACCGAGTCACTACCTTTCTATAACGAGCCTTGCTATGTTTAATGTTAAATACTATGACCTGCGAAAAATCGGCACCCATGATCGGTAGTTATTTTATATAGTTTTTTATGTATACGTACATATTACACAGATGGCTTATTTTAAGTTACATTTTCAAGGGGACCAAAGAACCATAGCAAGCTCGAATCGTGTGCCGATTCCAGTACCGATTTTTGTTGGCTTAACTGATGATACCTCGTGAAGCTAAAATCCATCATCTCTCTTTGGACGAATAATCAATAACAAAGAGAGATCTAACACGACATACATTGTAGACCATGGAAGAAGAAAATGTCGATTCATAGCTTATACCTATAACATACTTAAACCGATAATAAACCATATGCAGTATTGGTATAAAGCCGTCACGCTCAGTCACATACAAGTAATCTCACATGTGTAGTGTGGATGTTAGAGATCGATAGAAATAGTCCGGCATTTCGTGATTGCTCCAAGTGTACGTGCACTTATTTACACACGCTGAGGTTTATTTATACACCGAAAGCCGCGTGCAGCATCGACCGATGCAGTGCATCATGTATGGGAGAGACGGAAAGAGAGTCACTAAACTGCTGATGCATCGGCTCTCCCGCGGCGAGCCCTTTGCTCCTTTTTTGGGAGGTTTTTTTTCTTCTTTTTTTTTTTCCTTTCACCCCTCAGTCATCGGGACCAGATCTGGACTCGTCAAAGGAACGAAGAAGTTGACGCGCGTCGTCGTCGCCGGAGATTTTGGCTGATGTTCCCTCTCCGGTGCAACTTATCTCGTTTCGACATCATCGCGTGGTACAGAGGCCTCGTCTCGCTATAGCTGTACTCCCTCAGCGGCTTAGGGTGTTGAGTAACACAAGTACCATGGGATGGATTTATTGTTGTGCTAAAGCAGTACACCGCCACCGATCTCATCTAAGTACATGAGGCGTGCCCGAAAATTTGGATGCGTAATAAACATGGATTGCGATGATTGAAAGATTGTCATTGACGCAGTATACTATTACATTTAATAGTAAATATAACTAAAAGAACATACATTTAGACGTGCACAAGGTAAATACCTAAATACCTAATCGTCGGTATACACTTGGGGAAAAAAAAAAAAAAAAAAATATTATGTACGTAAATTAATTCGTTCCCGGCACAACATTCAACAAATAGCGCTGAATCGAGACGCAAACGCAAAGACGAATGATTGATATCAAGAATGCAAACATACGTGAATGTCGGCAAGTGGCATGATTTGTGAAAAAATGTGTAAATATTCAATTGACACGGGCGTGATTTTTGATACTATATATATAATCGACGGGGAGAGACCACAACGTGCAAAATATCACGTTTACTTCGGTTTACCGAGACGATCGAAATTAAGTATTACTCTCTCTCGCGCGTGCACACACTAATGTTCGAGAGATAACCACTTCCACGCTCTCCTTTGGGTTGAGCGCAAAACAATAAATAAAAGTGAGTACAAGATCGAAGATCAGAACGAGGGAGAGAGAGATGCGCTCTGACGAAATAACATTTTTATTCCTTCTTTCAAACGAGTCTTGTTGGTGTTGTTATTGTTGTGGTTGTTGTTGTTATTATACGGCATTGACTTGTGTAAAAATGATAGATGCCTCGACTGTATAGTGAATTAAAGAAAAAAACGACTACGGGAGAATAAACGAAGCTCGCAAAATTTCAAAATATGCCGAAACTTCTTTGTGATCGCGATTTATTTTGAGAATCCCAATATTTTATTAAAAAAGAAGATAACATTTTTTTATTTCAAATAGGTACATGACAAGATTTTTTTCTACCGCCATAGTGCTAATGAGCTTCATAAAAAAAAATTAAATATATACGGGACGTGTATTGGGCAACAACGGAGCGGCTAAACGGCCCGTTAATCGTGAATTTCACGCGCTTTTGATTCGGCAAACGACTCACGGTTATCGTCTCGATTCAATTACACGGACTTGATTTTGATTTAAGCACGGCCTGATTGCTCGTTTACTTGAATCTTCGCACTCTATCCGTTTACTCAAGAGTATAGTATAATATAATACTGATACTTAGTGCAGTATATACATGGCGATTCAGACCTATTATATGCAAGTATTACTAGACCTCCTCCACCGGGCGCATATAAGTATCTAATTTGATTTGCATTACCTTATACAGCTCGCGAAAGGTTTTTTTTTTTTTTTTTTTTTCATACCTTTATCCTCGCCTTTATCCCTATACTTTTTTTTTATAATTATGATTACGCGGCAATACTAAAAAATACTGATGTACCTAAATAACTGTACAATTTTATTGTTGAGTATATGAATTTATACATCTTGGATACATTTATACAGTCCCTGGGATCGAGCGCAACGAAAAATACCCATAGGTATAGGTACCAAACAAGTGTTTGGCTGATTAATACAAATTGAAAAATTCAGCTCTGTGCAGGTACATGTTTATGATGTGTATATACCTATTTAATACACGTGATTAACAACATTTTACCTCCTTTCGAGACTCGCAATTGCGTTAATTTGAACTTTCGAGCAAACAAAGCGAAGCGAAAGCACGATGATAAAATAATACACGTGTATAGTAATGTAATGTAGTTATCGCCGCTGAGAAGCTTTTTTATCTTTTAAAAAATTTTTTTCCATTTCGCGCTCAAATAGCCTTAAACAAGCACCGCGCACATAGGTGCTAAACTGTGCATCCCTACACATACCTGCTATACGATTTCTCTCTCTTTCACTTCTGAGAATTATCTGCATAGATGCTCATTTATGGTGTTTAACGCTTAAGCACAACCACAAACCCGCACCGAGGTGAGAAAAAAAAAAACCTTTTTCGTGTTTTAACACCTTCCTCATTCATTGATTTGCAAGTTTTACAAACGTTCGACGTTATTGATAAATGGTAGCAAACGAAGAGAATAATAATACAATAAATACTGACGAGTGTACCTAATAAGCAACGCGTTATTATTAATTGCACAAGTAAGTGTGTATTTATTGTGTGCCCGAATAATAAAATAATCGACATTGAGGTGACAGTCAAAGGGAAACAATGAAAGACCCGCGCTGAGTGATGCAATACGACGCTCGGTGTGACTGCATGGTAACTCGGTGCCCATGTATAATTTCATTATTATTATATATTATAAGCTTTACACTCCCATTCGTGATAAGTGCACGTCGTGCAATTGTATCCTATTTACGTGTATATTTACATGTGGTATGCACCGGATTGCGTTGTGCGTTGCGATCGATTTTGACTCGAGTCGTTAATGACGCGCCTCGATCGGTGATTGCTTAGATTTTTTTGTTATTACGTGCATACAGGTTCAAGAGTTAATGATTTATCCTGCAAACCGGCTGGACGACATGTTTATGTGTTGCACGCGATCACGTGCAGGAGTGCATGTAACTATATTTATATATGTGCGACAAATACTTAGGTGTGGTTGAAGAGGGAAAGAAAATAATAATGCGGTTTAAAAAATCGTGCAATTATAAAATATCCTGATATATATATGTGTGTGTGTATATATATATATATACGTTTACGTATATCTGTTGGAAGGAAAACAATCAATTATGCGAGCACTGACATTCAGTTGTTACGCAGGAGAACGCATTTACAATTGTTACATTATTCTCTCGTTCTCAAGCAAAATTATATCATACACTACTCTTGTAAAAGCTATATTACCATCTTTTGTGTGTCAGAAACATGTTGTCAAATCAATTAAATAGATTTATGTTGCGTAACGCTCGTTAAAATTTAACAGGTATAATACACCAAAAAAATAATATTGACGTTTCGAAAGTTTAGATATGATTATTAGGAAAACGTTTAACACGTGAATATACGTTTTCAAAAGAGGCCAAGAGTGATTGCATCACAAGACATTGCACTTAGTTGAATTTTTAGATAAAAAATACATGTGCACGTAACTATAAATTACGAATAAACGTTTCTGGCACATTCGGCATTATTTAATTTAGATAAGCGATCGACTTTGTGTTTGATGTTGTATTTTGATAATTATATTTTAATAGTAACAATAAAAATACCGTCAATAATCTCATTCACAAAATCATTCATTCATCAAAGATAATGCTTTCACTTTTGTCACTATTATTCACGAGCAAAAAAGATAATCTTCTAACATCGATCGTGTAATGTCGTTTTGACAGATCGTGCCACTCAGTAATACAACAATATATAATAAACGTTGTATATACATATAAATGAGGAGTTGGCATCAACAGTATTGAACTTATTGAAACTCCATAGGTTCGTTATCAGTAGTTTATCACGTATACCTATTATATATCAAAACGATTGTTGTGAACCGATTCTCTAGAATTTACAATGGAGATAGGTACTTACTTATAAGAATACCTACACAAGCCGTTTCTTACCTCGTTTCTAACGGCGACGACGACGACGACAACGACAACCAAACGAACATCGTGTCGATCGTCGCGTGCTTGCACTAACACACACCATCGATGTTACATAACCGGCATCGTGTAGTGAGATAAAGCCTCAGGCATCACCGGTCGGCCTCCCCGGCTTATTATCGACTACTCATGATAAACAAAAGACCCAACCACCTAACCCTTGAGTAGTAACACTATTATACTACCAGAATAAATTGTCAATCTTATGACATATGATGAAAGACAACTTTGCACTAGCCCCAAGCCCAATCGTAACAGTTAAGGTGTGCATGTATAATTATATAGATGCCGGTGTGCATCCTTACAGCTCCAAAAACGTGGGGGTGGCTTTTCTTCCATCTCTCTCTCGTCCAAGACACGACGACCGCGTGTATAACGCTCCGAGCTCGCGCGCTTTGCTTTGTATTAGGGTACAAGAGTACTATATCGACTTTTTCAAAGCCGCGCGGGGGCTTACGTAACACACCGCGACCAAGACGACGGCTGCACGCGCTGCAGGAAGGATCAGATGGTCCGAAGGGTAATTTACTAGACAACAACTAGCTCTCTTAACTTTTAGGCATTGGAAATTTTTCTCCAGAGAGAACAATGTGTTCTAAGGAAAAATTTACCAACTCGGCGGGTTGTCGTCGGTCGCACAGCCGAAATAAAAAGAAAATACCAAAGGGTGGCCGGAGGTACATAACATACTATTGTCACGGAAAAGCTTTGTACGTACCGGGTTGTGCAGCATCGCTGGTGGTGCTTGTGTCCGAGCTTGTGTCAGCAGCGGTGCTCGTGCCATTGACCTGGGGGGGTTGTTGGGGCTTGGCGCTGCTGCCCGTGGCTTCCCGCGGGGTCTCGACCTGAGAGCCCAGTGCCATGCCTTTCTCGAGCTTCTTCACGGTCTTTAACAGTCTCCCTCCAAACTGTGTTTTGCTTTCACAACAATTATCTTTGCTGCTCCAAAAAGTTTTTATACCTCTTTACTTGCGGCACACTCGGTTTAATTTTTTTTCTATCTTCCTCGATGCGAACACGCGCCCCTCGACTCTCTTTTCACATTAATACGTAACCAGTGCGCGGCGGTCGACTGCTGCTACTTTTGCTCTTCTATCTTGCTCGCTTGCTCCTCTCTGTCCTCTCTTTCTCTATCTATGCGCTAGCTGTGCTCCGAAACTCCGAATGAACGTCTACACCAATTTTATTAATGTAGTATGTAAAACTTCTTTACTCCCAGAGCTTGTTTCTCTTTACACCTATATTCTCTCTTTTCCTCGTCGTCCTTTGTTTTTTTCTCAACTTTTCAACACACTATAAACACTTGCCGTAGCCCGGTAGCCGTATTGCGCATACCCCTCTCTCTCGCTCTTCTGTTTTACTTGTCTCGTGACTCGTGACTATTTGATTATTAAGTATTATTATTGTTATTTATACAAAAGTACCAACCGGTTTTTTAACCATTCAATCGACAAAGTGCTCGCGAGTCACGCAATCAAATGTTCAACTTTTTATTTTATAATGTTGTATGATTATATGTCATACAAATGCAACTTTTTAGACTTAGACAAATATAAGAGAGACAGAGTAGACTGAGAGAGAGAGAGCAGCACACCACGTGCTTGCAAGCCAAAAGTTCCTCTGCCTTTTCTTCTGCTCTTCCTCTTTAGCATTCGCAATATCGCAATTCGCAAAGTTCGCATATGCGCACACGCGCATACGCGCAAGCCCGGTCACGACATCTATGTACATAAAAACGCAGAAGCTCGCACAAAAACAAGTATATACGTAATACGAGTGCACGAAAGCGCGCACACAACGATTGTTTCGCAACTTAAGTTGCAAAACAGACGGTTTCTATTTCATTTACTTACTTAAGTACAGCTTGTGGTTTTGGAGATCAGTTTTTAGATAAAAGATAAATTTTAAACTTGCCGCAAATAGCACAGTAGAAGTTAACTTTTTATTTTCCTTTTATTACATTAGTTGCAGCTGGTTTACAATTAGTTACATAGCTTTACTGTAAGTATAGTAATAATTATTTGGATCAGCGCCATCTAGCGTTGGAGATTTCTGAACTAAAAAGTGGCCCTAAAATTCTGAATCAGAGCTTTAGCGCGTAGAGCCATTTAATCAATCATAAACCAGCCGCAATTCATTTTGTAGCTATAAAATAAAAAAATAACAATACATGTGTTTTTGGCGGCAAGTTAACAATCTATCTTTTACTCAAAAATTAATCTTCAAAAGTATAAATACATAGAAGGTCGACTTTTTGATAGAAAATAGATTGTTACCTCGCCGCCAAAAACACATGTATTGTTATTTTTTCATTTTATAGCTTCATCATGAGTTGCGGCTGGTTTATAATTAACTAAATGGCTCTACTCCTGATTGCTCTGATTGAGAATTTTAGGAGCCACTTTTGGCCAAAAAACAAAGACCGCTAGATGACGCTGATCCAAATAATTACTGCTATTTACAGTAAAGTCACTTTATTAATAATAAACCAGCCGCAAATAATTTCATAAATAGACGATAAATAGTTAACATTTTTTATGATATTTGCGGCAAGTTAACAATCTGCCTTTTACCTGTAAGTTGACCTTGAAAAGTATAAATATTCCACTTATCTTGTACAGCTAATAAAATCTACCATATTTACAAAATTACAATACTTTGGACCTTTTACCATTAACTCATGGAAGCACAGCCCTTTAACTTTATAGTTTAAATAAAAAATTAATTTATATAATACGTACACACCAAGATTTGTGTTACAGAAATCTTGAACAATGATTAAATAGATATGTAAAGTAATCAGTCGAAAAGAGACAACTGAAAAAAAAAGGCTTAAAAAAGAAGTTCAGTCACACAGGAAGAGTCTCCTAAAAATGGAGCAATGGATCTCACTTAATGAGAGTTGTTTCAGGTATACAGAATGTGAAAATTTATAATTTTATGCTAAGGATTTGTGTTTATTGGGAGAATAAAGAAAATTCGTTAATCAAACATAGAGCATTATTTTTTTTACATGTAACAAATTATTTATGATGTTTATACAAGCAGCTTTTAAATCTTATTGCAAGTCTGCAGAAGCAGATTCTTCCCATCCTACCTTGATTAATTTTTAATTAAAATGACCTTGTATGTACACTGTTAAATGATTTTAAATATTGAAAGTTAACAAGTTGTTTTATATAATACATTCATTTTGATTAATCCTCAAAAATGTAATGGTCCATGTTGGATTAAAAAACTTTGTGTCGCTGAAATCTGTAATCTTTTTTTTCTTATGTACATATGATATATGTTACTGTGCAATATATCACAAATTCATGTTGTGAGGTTTTAATATTACAATAACAAAGTTCGATAACGCACAAGTTTCAATTAGCATCAAAAACAGTAGAATATATACGTGAATTAATCAGTCTAAAAGAGACAACTGAAGAAAAAAAATCCTAAAAAAGAAGCACAGTCACACTAAGAGTCTCCTAAGAATGAAGCATTGGATCTTACTAAATAAAAAATACATTTATTACAGAGAAGTAAATTTGAAGTATTATAAATAAACAAAGAACCCAACATTCCCTGATTATGTGAGATCCAATGCTCCATTTTTAGGAGACTCTTCCTGTGTGACTGAACTTCTTTTTTAAGCCTTTTTTCTTCAGTTGTCTCTTTTCGACTGATTACTTTACATATCTATTTAATCATTGTTCAAGATTTCTGTAACACAAATCTTGGTGTGTACGTATNAATGAATGTATTATATAAAACAACTTGTTAACTTTTAATATTTAAAATCATTTAACAGTGTACATACAAGGTCATTTTAATTAAAAATTAATCAAGGTAGGATGGGAAGAATCTGCTTCTGCAGACTTGCAATAAGATTTAAAAGCTGCTTGTATAAACATCATAAATAATTTGTTACATGTAAAAAAAATAATGCTCTATGTTTGATTAACGAATTTTCTTTATTCTCCCAATAAACACAAATCCTTAGCATAAAATTATAAATTTTCACATTCTGTATACCTGAAACAACTCTCATTAAGTGAGATCCATTGCTCCATTTTTAGGAGACTCTTCCTGTGTGACTGAACTTCTTTTTTAAGCCTTTTTTTTTCAGTTGTCTCTTTTCGACTGATTACTTTACATATCTATTTAATCATTGTTCAAGATTTCTGTAACACAAATCTTGGTGTGTACGTATTATATAAATTAATTTTTTATTTAAACTATAAAGTTAAAGGGCTGTGCTTCCATGAGTTAATGGTAAAAGGTCCAAAGTATTGTAATTTTGTAAATATGGTAGATTTTATTAGCTGTACAAGATAAGTGGAATATTTATACTTTTCAAGGTCAACTTACAGGTAAAAGGCAGATTGTTAACTTGCCGCAAATATCATAAAAAATGTTAACTATTTATCGTCTATTTATGAAATTATTTGCGGCTGGTTTATTATTAATAAAGTGACTTTACTGTAAATAGCAGTAATTATTTGGATCAGCGCCATCTAGCGGTCTTTGTTTTTTGGCCAAAAGTGGCTCCTAAAATTCTCAATCAGAGCAATCAGGAGTAGAGCCATTTAGTTAATTATAAACCAGCCGCAACTCATGATGAAGCTATAAAATGAAAAAATAACAATACATGTGTTTTTGGCGGCGAGGTAACAATCTATTTTCTATCAAAAAGTCGACCTTCTATGTATTTATACTTTTGAAGATTAATTTTTGAGTAAAAGATAGATTGTTAACTTGCCGCCAAAAACACATGTATTGTTATTTTTTTATTTTATAGCTACAAAATGAATTGCGGCTGGTTTATGATTGATTAAATGGCTCTACGCGCTAAAGCTCTGATTCAGAATTTTAGGGCCACTTTTTAGTTCAGAAATCTCCAACGCTAGATGGCGCTGATCTAAATAACTATTATTATTTACTTACAGTAGAGCCACTTTATAAATTATAAACCTTATTCAGTTGTCTCTGTTAGACTGATTAATTTACGTATATATTTTTATTTGGTGATATGTGTGATCTTGAAAACTTGAAACTTGAACCTTTGAACAATGATGTAAAATGGAATAAAATTATGACTTAATACCTATGGAGAAAAAATGTACCACTTTGATTCCTAATTCAAAATATTAAATGACAAATCAATAACGAATTAGGGTGATACATTTATTATTACAATACATTTATTATTGACGGGCTACTATCAAACAAGTACAGATTTTAAAGACAGTTCTATGAAATTCGTAGAGTGTACTTGCAACTACGTGTCTACATGAACATATATTGTTTTTCTTTAATAAAAATTATAAAGATAATTTTTTTTTTTTTTTTTACTATTGCTGAGGGTGTGCAAAGAAAGTGAATACACGTGAGTTAAAAAGCTGTTAATTCGTGATGTTGAGTTCTTCATATCAACAGTTAAATTTAAAGATTTTTACTTGTTATTTCGTGCAGAAAACTAATGTTTTTGCTCAAAAAAAAGTAACGTAAAACGTCATTAACATAAAATAAACAAAACAAACGTGCCAAGAGCGCCTCTGCGGGGTTTAAGTAAACTTTCGAAGCCGGGAGTGGCGGGAGGGAGGAGGGAGAGGGGTGTGAGTATGTAAACTTTACCCATAACATAACCTACGTTAACATTCAACAAAACCATTTGTAAGTTTCTTCTTTTGAAATTTTACTTGCGAACAAAAATTAATACTCACTATTTTGCATTTTGCGAGTTTTGAAATATCGAAAAACTGAAAAATTATCATTGTATATGTGTTGAAGCAGGAAAAAGGTTTTATTTTTGAGATGTCAGCTGAGGGTGAAAAACAACCCGAATTACGTGTAGGGCCAGATCCAAATGTTGTATACCCAATTAAAGTTCAATATTGTGGCAACTGTTCCCTTCCAATTGAGGTATAGCTACATTTTTATTTTCTGATAAAACATCTGATTATTTAAGTAATCAAGCACTCTCAATTGCTTATTGGGCTTTTTTCTAATGTTTTTTTTTTTTTTAATTTTTTTATTGCAGTACTGTGAATATTACCCAGATTATCTCAAATGCAAAGAATGGCTAGAAAAGAATTTACCAACCGAGTTTGAAAAATTTAAGCTAGGCAAGTATGCGTTTATTTTTTGATGCATTTTTTGATGCATTTGTAGCATTAATTTTATTTTCCCTTGGTATAATTTTTTTGCACTGATAATGTTTTTTTAGTTGACGATGCAAACTCAGAAGCTGGTGGTACTGAAGATGAAAAGAAGCGACAAAAGCGTGGTGGAAAAGGCATGCTCAAGACTAAGAAGAAAGAGGAAGTGCAAAAACTAGTCACGGTGTCTAGGGCCCCAAGAGGAAAAAAAAAATCTGTCACAGTTGTGACAGGACTGAGTACTTTTGGTAAGTGCTGATATCAAAGAATTAACTAACTGTTCATTCACCCATGTGGCAACATGTACATCAATTTTAAATTTCGATGTTCTATTCCAAATCTCATTGATTATGCTTGTTTAGATATTGACCTCAAAGTAGCAGCCAAGTTCTTTGGCAGTAAATTTGCATGTGGATCCAGTGTCACTGGAGAGGATGAGATTGTGATACAGGGTGATGTGAAGGATGACTTATTTGATGTTATTCCAGAAAAATGGCCTCAGGTAATATACATCATAATGTGTTTGAATAATATACTTGATTCTTTTGTGTTTTAAATACCCAAATCTTCCATATCAGATTGATGAAGATTCGATAGATGATCTTGGCGATCAAAAGAGATAATGAGCTAATTAAAAATCTTCTTACACAAGACTATTTAGAATATACTGATGGATGTTTATTATAAAGTAATGTATATACAAAAATAAGATCAAAAAACAGAATTCTTTGTACAATAGTTGTTTCTTATTCCACAGCCTGTTCCTCTGCTTCGTCTTCTTCCTCTTCTTCTTCTTGTATCTTATCTTCACCCAAATGTTTGTCAACTATTTGAAGTAATTCATTGACTTGTTCAACAGTTAACCTATCTTCGCTGTCTTCAACAATCTGAAAAATGAAGACAAATTTTTTAACCGTGCAAAGTAAAATTTTAGTTTTCAATTAAAAAAGATAAATTATGCTTTCTTACCAACTGTATGTCGACATCTTTTGTCGGGCATTGATTAAGTAGTGTGAGTTTTTCACATTTTGTAAGTTTAAAAGGTCCCAAAGCAGTTAAAAATGCCTTGATCTTTTCCGGCGTGTGCCTTTTACATGGTGTGTCTTCTAGATACCTAATTGTTTGATAAGTTATAGTTGCCAGTTGATTTTGTCCCTTAGGTTTATTTTTTGACTTGATGTTTTGAAGAATATCTAACACCTCATAATTGCTAAGAAAAGCCGAACACTCATTTACCCTGCAACAAAAAATGCACATTTTAATCGACAATTATAACCTTCATTTTTTAATACTTACACTTCCATTTTTATGCAATATACAGAATACACTTATATCCTATATTTTAATATAAAATTTATAGTCCACAGAAATGAAGACAATTGGACTGTTAGACATAAAGTATACATTTTTACATCTTTTTATACTTGATGACCGCGTTATAAGTGGTTACGCTTGCAGGCAAAAACTAAGTACAACAACCCGATAAATGCCAGAGATTCTGGTAAACGCGGGTGTGTACTGTGTGGGGTAGGTACAGTATTGTCAATTTCAATTTTAAAATTTTTTATTCACAAATCTTAGAAGTCATACAGCCATAGGCCATAGCGCAGTTGAGTTGTGTTGTAGTTCTCAATTGTTATTTGCCAAATTGCCAATATCTTTAACCTACACTATATCTATACATATCTAGTGATATACTTGTGGCAGAAAACCCTATTAATCTAGGGGTTTTTCCAAGACGGTTCCCCTAGAAAATAGTTTGCGGTAAGTCCGCGAAATCCGCAACGCTGGATGGCGCTGATGCACTATACGACATCGTGATTTTCGTGATACCGTGAATCGTGACTCGTGACTCGTGAGTTGCAAGCGTATATACTTTTTTTTTTTTTTCATATATTACTTATAATGCCCCCCATTACTGGGAGGGGGGTAGGGGGAATTAGGCAATTTTTGCTGCGAGAAGGTCGCCTAAACTCTCCTCGAGGAGCATTGCGTGGTGAAAAAGCACTTGTGAAAAATAACAGAGGTACTTGCCCGAAAAAGTCACACTGGCCGGGAATCGAACCATGCACGGTCTCCCGCGTGCCAATCCACGACCTACAGATATGCGATGGCGCTGCACATCGGTAATCGTCTGCTTATAAATATAAATAAAAACATAGAATATGTATATGTGTATATACACCAGGTGAATGAGAGAATGAGTATCATATATTTATATGCATACAGCTATCAGGCGTAAATGTAATCCACGCGAAAATTGCGCGACGAAATGTATAATTAAAGATAGTTATATTTTTCTCCATTTCGTGCAAAGTGGGTACAAATAAATCAAGAGTAGGCCGAAATTAAGTTTTCTGTAGGTGCAGATGTGTGCAAGTGGCTTAGTAATAAGACAAGGACATCTAAGAATATATGAGTCTGAATTGAATCACAACGGCTGTCTCAAGTGCTTCGACAAGAAAAAGCATAGATTGTGGTGCATTACATCTGCGTTAAATTCTGGATTCGACAGACCATAAAGACCATGTAATTCCTTCCATCATGCAAGGAGATTCCACTCTGAGTGTCGACCGTCGTCTTGTGAGTTATACATAATGGGCACATTACCATTCCCTTCATCGTGAGTGTGTGTTTATGAGTTTATAATAGTATTTTTATCGCGTTTATTGTATGTGACTCTTCGAGCCTCCAAGTCCGAGGTCTGAGCTCCGAGTCCTCCGAGGTATACCAAGATTACCGAGCACCAGTACAGCCTCGTTTGTTATCGATCCACATCCATCTGTCCTCTCAACTATCTCTCTCTATCTTATACTTATTACACCAGTAGCTTGAGGCTTGAGCTTGAGTTGAGCTTTTTCTTGCGCGCGCACTGATATCTTTCTCTCTACCTCGGGGACGGCGGTGTTGTCGTCGTCATTATGTTTGGGTGTTAAAGTCGTCCAGGCGATGCAACCTCGTCACCTGACGGAGGATCATCATCATCATCATTATCATTAACATCATCATCATCATTAACGTGATGTGTGACCGGGACGGTAATAGTGGTTCCGCGATGAGCGCCGGACTAAGGAAGAAGGAGAGCAGGATGGAGATCATTGGGGAGTACGAGTATGACTCAAAGGAGCTCATCGGCCAGGGCGCCTTTGCCATCGTCTACAAAGGCTGGCACATCCCAGTGAGTATACACACCTGCTGGTCTGACATTTTTGGCTCGATTTTTGCAGTCAGTCTTTGTTTGTTTTTTTTGTTTGTTGGTTTGTTTGTTTTATTTGTTGAAAAAGAATGACCCTGTCGCGTGGGCGAACCTGAATATGATGAATGCGTGTTCGAGTTGATATGAGAGAAAGTAAGTATAGTGCTTCAGTGTCAGTGCTGAATATTAGAGCTTGCTCGAAGCTCGAATAACTTTTGACATGTCAGTAATTTCATATACATACTTACTTTGTGTGTAATACACAGCTGAAAGTAGGTATACATGTAGGGACTTGGGAAATCTACCTGCTATGCTATACCTAAGTTCTTTAAAACATTGATGAGTTTTTGTTTTTATTATTTTTTGTTTAGTACCATTTTTTGACATATACATCAGTATTCATTTATTTTATGGGTGTTTCATTGAACCGAAAAAATTAAAAAATATCATTTACATTTTTATAAAAAAATTTAATTTTACATCGCGTCAAGATACCTATATTTTGTATTGTTGCAATAGATTATATTTTTTTTTTTTTTCCAGACACACAGCGTTGTGGCTGTTAAAAGAGTGCAGAAGAAAAGTTTAGCCAAATCGCAGAATCTATTGAGCAAAGAAATAAAAATTCTAAAGGTAGGTACTCACAGAATCCTTTTGAAGAAAATCAAAATAGTGATCGTTGACAGTTACTGAATAATTTTCTACATATTCCTAAAATATTTCTAATCGCAATTTATATTCAACAGGAACTAACGGAACTGCATCATGAAAACGTGGTAGCTCTTTTAGATTGTAAGGTCAGTGCCATTGAATGTTCAACGTTGTAATATGGTAAATTATTTATATTTTTATATTTTTCACAAGGTGAATTTTAAATTTTTTCTAGGAATCTGATCTATGTGTCTTCCTAGTAATGGAGTACTGCAATGGTGGTGATCTTGGAGATTATTTAATAGGTAAATTTAAATTTCTTAAACGGAATTATTATTTACAATATTTTCAATGATTTTGACTGATGCATTACTTCAATGGCGATCTTCAGCAAAGAAAACACTCTCTGAAGACACCACCAAGATATTTTTAAAGCAATTGGCTGCTGCAATGAAAGCGCTTCATACCAAAGGCATTGTGCACAGAGACCTCAAGCCCCAGAATATTTTACTCACTCACAATTGCGGAACCGCAATGCCCGAACCACACGAAATTACCCTAAAAATCGGCAAGTATTCTTGTTTAACACAACTATTTATTCATATGACTTTACTAACCAATTCAGTATTTAATTTTCAGCGGATTTTGGTTTTGCTCGATTCTTACAAGACGGCGTGATGGCTGCAACCCTCTGCGGCTCGCCTATGTACATGGCTCCTGAGGTCATCATGTCAAACGCGTATGATGCAAAAGCTGATCTTTGGTCTATTGGTACAATAATTTACCAGTGTATTGCTGGGCATGCTCCGTTTCAGGCAGCTACTCCTCAAAAGTTGAAGGCGTTTTACGAACAAAACATCAACATTCGACCAAAGTAAGTGAATCCTTATTTCTCACCAATTTAAAGTATCCGCGCGGCATTATCGGTTGTTATTAAAAAAAAAATTGTCAATTTTAGATTACCAGCAGGGACATCTGCAAAACTGGTGCACCTTCTCATGGGGCTCTTGCAGCGTGATGCCAAGCATCGTCTATCGTTTGACGAGTTCTTCAAGCATTCCTTTCTACAAGAGGAACGGCAGGTACCGAGTCCCATTCCCGCAGAACTGACCTCGTCTCCGAAAATAGTCAGTGTTCCTGAGCGAAATGTTTGTGGCATAAGGCTAGCGCCAGAGGGCAACAGCCCCTGCTCCAGTCCTGAGGAGGACTTTGTCATCGTGCCAAATAACTTTAATAGCGAGCTTGACATCAACACTAATCCACAGCTACAACAACAACACCAACAACAGCAGCCGCAACAGCAACAAATCAAATATGCAAAGAATCCCAGTCGAGAGGCAGCGTCCAGTCCACCACGGCCGAGTTACCTACCGATCACGGAACCGGTTCCCGTGTCAAGAGGGCAGTTGCGCAGTGCTGCTGAGGCATTTTCAAGTAACGTTTTGAGTAGAACGTCTTTGGGCAGCAACAACAGTGCCGGCACCAATAGCGTTGTGCCGCGTTCTCAACCTATTAACGTCAAGCGCACCAAAACGCATAACAAAAATCAAACGGTTGAGATCGGCTCTCTGAGTCCGCCGAGCGTGCAATTTGTCATAGGCACACCACCGAATCGGAGGTATGTGCAAATATAAAAAAAAAAAAAAACACAGGCACTGCACAATTACGATCGTTACATTTAAAATACTATTTTGCAGAGTTAGCGAAACTCCTCCACCACCAAACATATGGCAATTGAGTCCTGTGGCAAAGCCCAGTCAGTTGACGACTTCGCCACTGCGACGATCGTCAGGTGTGCAAAGTGCCTCATCACCGCTGCTCACGGGGCCACTGTCAGTCCTTAGTTCACCAACTAGTAGAGCCAACAACAATCCAACGAGACCATCGCCTGTCATACCTTTTGGCACGCGAGCCTTTACTCTGCCCGAAATTTCTGGTAAGCCAAACCATTTTTGAATCTCGGATCATAATAAAATATAATTTGTTTTTAATTTTGCAAGATTGCAATCTTCACAATCTCTTCTCGGATCTAAACATAGGCGGTGGTACCAATAACATAATCACAGGTGGTTGTGTTACTACGTCGTCAAATGATGATGATTCACAAACCTTTATCGCACCCGAGTTGCCCGAGGATACTCTGCTGGAGCGTGAGCATAATGAGATCCTAGCCAAACTGAACTTTGTGATGGCACTGTGTGAATGCGTGCACGAAGTCGCGCGTGCCCGAGGCGGACCTTTGTCCACCGTGTCGTCGTTTGGTAACGATCAACCGGGACCCAATAGTGCAATGAAAAGGCGGGCAGAACAAGTAATACTGTTAGTGCGAGCTTTGCAGTGGCTTAGTTCAGGGCTAAATCTGGCAACGAAGCAGCTAAAGGCCAGCAAGCTCAAGCCCACAACCAGCGTCAAGGAAGGTGAGATGATAAACATAAACTTTGTCAATTTTTTGAGTCAATACCGCAAATAATAAAAATATGCATTATACAATTTAAAAAACCACATAGGCCATTGAATATTTTATGGTTACAGTTCTACATAAAATGAACGAAAAATTTAAAACTTGTTTGTCGGAATGCAAACAATTAAATAGTGCTGGATTGCTTAACCAAACTCCGGCTTCAGCTGATAAATTGCTTTATAACTACGCTATAGAAATGGTAAGCTGCAAATTGATTATTCACAAGTATTTTTGTACCGAGAAAAATATGAACCTTTACAAAAAATTTGTGGTTCTTGACAGTGCCAGACTGCAGCAATGGATGAATTATTTGACAAAGGTGCTGAATGCTTTCACAGGTATCACACCGCACAGATACTTCTTCATTCTTTATCGCAACATGTTACTCATACAGAAGACAAGGAACTTCTGACTAAATGTAAGTTAATCATTTTAAAAGTACTCTGGAAATCAAACAACAAACAATACTGATAACCACATTCTTCGATTTTTTTTATCAGATAAGGAATCAGTTGAAAAACGCTTGTATATCTTGCAACAAAACGGTCACATTTACGCAACGGAACCGACGTAGCGCTTGTGACGAAGTTCTGACAGAGAATGTAATTTCATATGCGAACCTTACTCGTACTCGATTAACGCTATCTTTCTTATGAGCCAACGTGAAATGATCAGGACTACGAAATCGAATGAAATGTAAAGAAAGCAAAAAGCATGACGAAGATTTATTTTTTAAATTTCTTTTCATGATCTGTTATTAACATATTAACAATGTTGTAACAAATTTAAATCCATCACATATATTATACTGTAACAAATACGCGTATGTTATTTAAAGTAGATGTATAAAAAACGAATTTGTTGCTAGTTTAGTGCAAAATTCTTTTATTGTATGAGAACGTGATACAAAATCGTTTGTGACAAGTTGATTTGTACGAAAATTACAATATTATAATATAACAATTGCAAAGATAAACATCTGTAACATGAAAACATTTACTTCTCCTTTTCCTCAATTGCAGGAGTGGATGTACTTTTCTCATTATCTCTGTAAATTACGTAAGTTAAAGCCGTTGCCAGAGTGGTCCAAGCCAGGTATGGAACAATTAACAGCCCAGCTGTGGAATTTACTCTGTAGAATGTTACAGCCAATGCGGCAGTTGTACCCCAAAGAGCGACTATCTCATACATCGCCTGCAAAATATTACAGCTGTACATAATTTTGCAATTGTTTTTAACAATTCCAGCATGTATCAAAAAAGTTTTTTTTTTCTTTCATTAAATTAAAGATTAAGATTTTGATAAATAAAATACCCATTTGAGCTTGTGCATTCCAAAGAAAATGGGCGTCCAAGCCCAATTAAGAGCCAAATTAGCTCCATAAATTGACAACGGTAGGGCAGCATTTTTCCAGCTACCACTATCGCGCAATACCAAGTGAGAAGCATAGCCCATTGAGCAATACAAAGTCGTCCACACAGGACCAAAGGCCCACTTGGGCGGAGTCCACGTTGGCTTCTTCAGGGACTAAAAGTATTATTGTGCAAATTTATAAAGTTGCAGATCTGTGCCAACACACTTATGTGATGACGCACTCACTAGATATTGTTTAGTAAACATAAAAAATTTATGGGTACTTGTATATACACATCCATCGCATACACGAAACTATGTAAGCAAAAGAGCTTACATGCCGCAAATTTCCCTGCACGAGTAAGTACCTATCCATTGGAGGAATTCTTTTGTCAGGACTTAAAAGAAATATAAGTGGGCCATTTTTAATAACTTTGTATCTTTTGCGTAGACTAAAATGATTTTAGCTTACACGACATCGGGTCGTGTACGGCACAAACTAAAAAAAAAAAAAATTTTAATGTCAAGACTTGTAACTTATTGTTTTGGTATTAAAAATTCAAATCAAATATTACGAATCGCGACTAAGCTCATGAGACGTCACATTTGAGTAAAACTACGTGGCTCCTTTATAAGCTTACCAAAAGAATTGTACTTATTGAAAAAAAAAAAAAAAAAAAAAAAAACATTCAAGAAAATTTTAGTGAACCGCAACATTGACAGATCTGTCATGGATTCCAGCAGACGATATCCCCTACACGGTGTGCTCCAAAAAAGAGAAACGTCATACGCGTCAACACGCATATGTATATAGGTGGGTGTACCACAAGAGGGAGGAAGAATAAGGAAAAAAAAAATACACAACTCACCTGGTACCACGGGTTAATGTTTTTTTGAGTTATATAGCCTCCAATCCAGCCTCCAATATTGGGGTGAACGGTGGCAACGACCACAGGCCACGATATTTGTACCGGCATTTTGTTTTGTCGAATAGAATACTTGGACTACCTTGTGGGGAGAGAGAGCGCGTCGCTTTGTTACAGTAGAAATATTCAACCACTTATTATTGTTAGAGACATCGCCTGCAGCTAAATAGCGAGTTATATACCGCACTGTCAAGATACCGTTGCTTACAGCTCACAGCGGATCAGCAACATGTGTGTGTAGTATATCGGCGTATATATATAGCTAATACGTAATGTAAATAACGAATGACTAGTGCGCACATATTCAATAAAAATTATCTTTTAAGTTTCAACGGTTTAAATAACAATTGTTAATTTTAATTTAAATGTACGAACAAAAGATTTTAAAAAAAAGTTGATTTTTGCGTAATTTCACTTCAAGTTAACACAAGGTTTCGTAAATTTTCAACAAAACGTTGTTTGATTCCTTGAATATATTTTTATTTTACTCCTTAAGATGATAATCCATTAACAAAACACAAATACAATGAAATTATTCGTGGTATAAATTATAAACTATTGATAAGAAAATATATAGGAACCAAAATACACTTAATATATCAAAAATTAGCTTAAACTGTGAGTACATTTAAAAATCTCTAAGGTACACTTGCAATACAACGGCCATTAAAAAAATCATAATCGACAAGTATTAAATTCAAATTGAAAAACATAGCTGCAATAACACAAACGTTAGATAATATAAAACAAAGTTGTCAATTTTTGATGTACATACAAAAATAAATCTGTCACTGCCATTAGTTGCGTATACATACACGCAGTAAAGGTTAAAATACTAAAGTAGAACAGTTTTTTCTTTTTTTTTTTTCCTTTTTTTATTAGTGAGCGCTTTCCTCCACACCTTGGAATGATGCATGGCAACGATTCTGCAAAAATCTTGTGCGTGGCGATTCACATACAGTCAACTGTAGAGCTAGATTTCGGACTAGATGAGCGTTAAAACGTTGTATCATTTCTCCGTCTTCTTTGTCTTGTATGTTTTGGCCCACGTTATTTTAAGCTAAATAGGCTAAGACTCTTACAATCGTCATCTTTGAATTTTACAATTAACTAAAAAACTGAATTTTTTTAAGTGTTATAGCTATTTCAAAAATCAAAATGCGTAAGTACTTGAAAAAATTATCTACAAATTATTCTAATTTTTTTTTTCATGATTATAAATGTGAACATGCTAAACACTTGTTTAATGATTTTAAAATCTTGGTTAGTGATTCCACAAGAATTTCTTCTCTAATAGAATTGTTTAACTAGGCTTTTAATCAATTTTATTTGTTGCATTGGTCTCCTCCGACTTTTCACTTATCTTTTCATCCTTTTTAGAGGCAGATTTGAATCCCATACCAGAGCTAAAGTGGTCTATCACGGTAGACTTGAGTTTTTGTGGTATCACTAGTATCGTTGTAGTAGTGTTTCCCAGAAACAGCACCAAAAACATGGCACTCAGAACAGGCACATGCCAAGTTGCTTCAGGATGCCAAGCAAGCTTGAAAAGCACATAGGCATTATAGAGTTGAAAGAAGTAACCAATAAAGAGAAACGGAAGAAGAAAAGACAAGCCTCGCCACATCCATGAATGAAAGCCTTCAATCGTTATGTCCATGTTGTGCCGTTCACCTAGTGCTTTTAATCGATAAAGTACGCCACTTTGGTAGCGGAATTGCAAATATTGTACTATACCTGAAAAAGAAATTTTTAGTCACGTTAAATATTTGTGTCAACGAACCTAAACGTATGTATTGTGTAAAAAAGTAGATTTTAATGAAAAAAATTTATTTTATAATCACAAGTATTTTATTCAACTCACTAATGTAAACATTGAACCACATAAACTGTTGCCGGAATGTATACCACGGCCCAGTGTTTGGCCAAACTAAAAGTACACCAGATACAACAGTTGATAGAAAATGGTGAAAACGCCACCATCCTTTAATTTTTGAACCGTTTACTTTAAGTATACTCTCTCTTATAGTCAAAGTACAATAATACCAGACTAGCAAGAACATGAAACTCAGCTCCAGTGTTCTAAAAAAAATGTTAAAAAAATTTTAATGAGATCAATTAAAGAAAAAAATAAATCATAAAATACAAACCTTATGTTAGTAAATAAGTTTACAACAGAGAGAAAAAAACCAATCACAGATAAAACGAGCTTGAATTTTTCATATTCATCTTTGTACTTGAATCTAAAATAAATTTAACAAACTATCACTTTAATTTGTTGCCAAAGATCCTGTGTACGAAATTATAAATATTACTTACTTATCATTCTTATTTAATATCGAGACATTAACACTACCTAATATAATAGAAAGATAAGTGCCATTTGGTTTAGGCAATGTTTGTTCCATTTCGTGTATCTGCTGTTCCCTCCTAATCATATCCTTGTCTAGCATTTGGCGAGTGTTGCTCGCATGTAATCTGACATATGACATCACATTTCATCAATGTTTTTTTATTATTCTCAGTCGTGCTGATAAATGAAACAAATGTACAAAAATACTTACTGATTTAAAGACTTCTTTATAACTCCCATTCGGTATTTTTGGTGTGATATCCCGCTTACACATTTTTTTTGTAACTCACTGAGTTCTTCTAATTTTGCTAAGTAAGACCTGTTTAATGCCTAAAAAATTAGTATTAAAAATGGTTACCAATTATCTAGTATCATGGTAGATAAAAAATTAAAATGTAGGAAAATCCAAATGTACATGCATAAATATGTAGATAAAATAACTAGCAGTATTTAGAAACGTAACAAAATAAACTGTTTGTTCCAATCATAAACTAAAGACTAAGCTTTGTATAAACGAAAAAAAAAGACGGTGGATGCTTCCTCTAAGGCAGAACATTTGTCAGTAACTGCGATTTTTCGATAACGCTGTTATCGCAAAATTGATTAATGTCTAAAGAAAATACATAAAATGTACACTAAAGTGTGCTGATTTCGATCATTCCGATTGCTAACCTTTATTCTTTTGACAACTAAGGTCATATTAAATTTATAATAAATATGAAACTCGACGTAAAAAAATACAATGCAAACTATCGAGAAGACCGTTGGAAAAAAATTGTAGTAACGAGTTTATTAACTAAACACTTGCCTCGAGCTCTTTGTACTCGTTCTGCAGATCGTTCCAATCTTTAAGACAAGACTCGACATCCAGATCCATGTTTTAATTTCTTTCTTTGAGACACTTACTGGGCGTGGAGATTCTTAGTTAATAAAACCATGTAGTGACCTGTAAAATTAAACAAACAGGGCTGTAACCTGTACTTGTACAGTTGTACCATGTATATAAAGCAACTAGTAGGTATATCTCTATAGAGAAGTTACAGTTTTTTTTTTTTTGGTAAATCCAAGTTAGAGTATAAATAGCAGTTAGGCACTACAACTAAATTACGTCGTGATGACGCGTATGCCATTAATGTGCGCAACACGTACGTTGTATACTTACTTACTTACTTGTACAGAAGTTACAGTTACAGATTCGAAGCTTAATTAAATCTTGTCTTGAATAATGCTAAGAGTGATGCTTATGAGGTGTTGGTGTAATAACCTTCGAATACGCTCGTTCCTCCATCACAAATTCTCTCATTCTCATATCTCATTATTCTCAACATTTGGGATAAAGTGGTAGGTACAACTGCCTATATGGGTGTTTTCCGCAATCGTCACCAGCAAGTAATTTAAGGTTGCGCTCTACGTTACCGTCAAGTCGGTAAGTCAACTACCTTGAATTAACTGGCGCTCTGCTCCGTAATCTGGCCAGTAAAAACAGCAGACGACAGTCAACAGCGATGAAATCTTTACACTTTTTTCTTGACTTTCACGTCGTCTGCTGTTTTTACTGGCCAGATTACGGAACAGAGCGCCAGTTAATTCAAGGTAGTTGACTTACCGACTTGACGGTAACGTAGAGCGCAACCTTAAATTACTTGCTGGTGACGATTGCGGAAAACACCCATTGCTGCAATGCCGATTGTAAGAATGGGATCTACTTTACCGATATATGAAATTATACTTTTTTCAGTACTCAAAATATATGTAATCTCACCCTAAGGTGTGGCGTTGTGGATCCATTTTGATTGACCAATCAGGAACGCTTCCATCGCGCCGCCATGTCTGTCTGCGAATTTCAAAAGCTTTTAAAATATAAAGGATAAGTACACGTGCGTCTTAATGAACTGTAAAAGTCGTATAGCCTTGACCGAAGTCAATATGAATAATTATCATGGTTTTATAACGTATTGTCAAAATACCATCAAAATATAAACCCTCAGCCAACAAGACTCCAATTTATGGGATTGTTTCGGACATATCAGATAAATTCCGATTTCTCTTATTGAATTAGCATTTTGATGAATGTGATTCAATAAAATTCGTTTTTAAGCATTTTTTATTTTAACGGCATAATATAATATACGCTGTAAAATAATCGAGATAATAACACCTAGTCGTGGTATAGATTTCGTTAAAACTTACGGATCCATTCGGTTCGTCAACCGATTTGTCGACACACGTTCTATAACTAAATGGTATAACCGTATAATACATGATGTCACCTCAGTGATAACATTTGTTGACAAACCGAGTGGTCAGATCATCAGGGTTTCACTGACGTAGATACAAATATAGAGTTCCTCTTGTTACATAGTCAACAGATAGTAAAGCTGTCATAATAATGGATCGAGAGGGGGAAAAATAGTAAGATACCTCTGGTAACTAAGCGCTGATATCATGAATATATGAATATGTAAGGAGAACGGAAGAAAGATCGGGAGAATATTAAATTCTATTTATACCTAACTATAGTTTTTGTCCCGATCGGCTCTCTTTCCACAATAACATGTAAATGAGCTTTAGTAGCCTTTGCGATCAGTTATTACTCTCACTCTTCAACTCGGCTTTCATTACATTTACTCTGTACGGCCATACACAGTTCTGTTAATATACGCCATAACAAATAATATTGTGGTCCTATGAATCAAGCACAACGTTACATTTTCAACTTGTCGTTATAATTATTTTCAAGTATAATTTTCAGACCAAAACAGTGATTAATAGTTGTTGAAGTACAAAATGCGGAAAACGATTTACCCCACGAGTCAAGAACTTTTTTTTACACCAGTTTGTAGAAAATTGGACCAATATATTATATATTACGCCCTAAAAACAGTGCAGGAAATACCAACTTTCTATACATACCATTATAAAACAATACAAAATAAGTAAAAAGGACCTCACAAAGGTTGAATTAAAAAAAAAGCGGCGGAAAAAAATGGAAAATATGCGGGATTCGTTGATATGTGGTCATTTTTGCCATTTCCCTATAATGGCCCTCGTTGATAAATATGATTTTATCACGCGACTGACAGATTTGAATAATCGTTACACAATAAAGCTACGTGACTTTTTTTGGTTTCAATCGCGTAATCGGGTACGATCGTCGTAACACCTGTGCAAAAAAAATTCAATAATTAATTTTTCTGATTACATTTTGTGGTATATGTATGGTAAGTGGTACGATGATTTACGATCGCGTTAACACGAGGATCGGTATATACGAGACGTACGACATTCTATACAATACTTCGTATTCCATATTACGCTGTTACATTGTTAATAATGTATTTTGTGGTTTTGTTACAAAAAATCATCACTTGGGAAAAACAACCACGTGATGATTCTACTTTCGAATTTATACTATACGGCTCGCAACCGATTGCACCGATGATTGGTATATATTATACCTTTGTATGTTTATCGAGGTGCTGACTGCGATTATTTCAAATATAATCATTAGAATGATCGCAATTGATTACAACGTCATTATAAACTTTATTGAAAGTGAAAAATATAGGTACGTGCGTTCAGTGAATCGGAAGCTCAGCTTTCGTGGCACTCGTCGGTAAAGATACGTCAATTCGTAGAAAACAGTGTCAGTCTGTAGTTGAAAGATTCGTTGCTTAACCAGTCGCTGCGTGTAGTACATATAATTGCACCAATTGTTACTTACCTATGGTCTATATTTTTGGTAACAGTAGAGAATTGCATTGGTATAGTTTTCAGCGGGGTCTAGAGGTATATACGTATATATACAGTATAGCCTTAAAAAAAAATAAACTGATTAAAACTCGGTCCCTTTTTTACGGCGCAAGCGAGTCGGGCCCAAGAGAGAAGAAAAAAAAAAAGCTGACGGTGTAAGTGCACCACTCGTGAATGTCAAAGATAAAAAAGACTCCACGTCTCGGCGGACGAAAGCTTTTAGCCGTGAGTATAGTTAGAAGCTTCTGGAAATCGCTCCCGCCGATTTTTTCCAGCCTCGTCGCCACCAACCATATACCTTACAGTGAAGATCGGATATAGTAATAATAATAATAATTATTATAATAATACAGGCCGCATCAAATTTATGTTGTGGAATTCCCACTGAAGGCTCTGCTCACAGTACGAGAGCACCCACAGGGTATTTGGTGCCCACATGCACTGGGCATTAAAACTTCTGACGGCTCGTATTTTTGTTCGAATGGAAGTGGCATCGTTAATTTATGTTGCACTATTATCTCATTTTTACTTTTTTTTTATCTGTCTCATTGTATGTCTTGTGTGCCGATTGTCAGGCGCGTTAATCTCGTGCTTCTGACGGAACGTATAGTCGGTCGACTATTGTACAAAAGGTTCGGCTGGTGGTCTCTCTGTATCGCATAACTCATCAAGTCGAAGTTACTACGCGATCGTTGAAACATTGAAAAAAGTAACTCGGACGATTTGGATCGTAATAAGCTTTTACTTCAAATTGTATATTTTTGTGTGTCACCTACGCACATCACATAAAATTATTCAAATGCACTGGAAAAACCTGTAACATCGGCATAGCGTAGTCGACCAAAATAGTTTTTTTTTTTTTTTTTTTTTTTTTTCCAAGATCTAATGACTAATCCACATCCGAGGAGGAGCTCACTACCGATTTCGTCATTAGAATGCGGCGTTACGTTACCAAGGCCTCGCACTCGACTCGTTCGACTGATGGAATCCAAACCCAGTGCCCACTACTTTTTGTCATCCGATTTTCACGTTTGTACTTATATATTTATTTATTTATCGATTATTTTCTGTCTTTACTTCGAAAAGCATTAAAATCGTTATACTGGATTATACTGGGCACGTGCTCGTTCAATTACAGTTCGATAAATCCCGATCCTAAATCTCAAATAAAAATAAATCAACCTGTTGTACTATTGTATCCTGTGCACCTACCTCCGCGACACTTTAATTATCATAAATACCGGATGAGCGAAAAAAAAAAAAAAAATAAAAAAAAAAGCAACTTACCGATCCCATAGAAGCAGGTAATATATTACATAAGTAACCGACGGCAGTTCAACCCTCCCCCCCCCACGCACACTTAATCGGATTTTGACTTTTTTCGGTCCATTCACTCGCATGCAGCCGCTCACGTGTTGCTTTATAGACGTCACGTTCTTACTTGATCATTGAACTTGGCATACCTTTCCTCTTTATTATTTTTTCTTTTCTCATTATTATTCCCACACTGATTGTACAGTGTTTTCTCGTGACGTGGTTTGGAGAAATAACAAAAAAAAAAAAAAAAAACAAAAAAACAAAAAAAAAAAAAAAAAGAAAAAACTTTGCCGATTTTACAATACACATAACAATACGCTATAGAGTCAGTAAAATGATACCGATCTCTTGGGTAAAAAAATATGTAATTGTCTGTAAAACACAGGCGTGACATAAACGTTTAATTGAACAGCAAAATCGCTCAAGCGCAAGAAAAAACATGGTACTAGAGTCTGAGCGATTCCACACCCGAAAATCGTCACCCATTGGGGGAGAGAGCGCGAGCGCGCGTTAAAAGGGCGAATATGTATATATAGGTGTGAAATCGCACGGGGAAAAGCCATCGGGAGGAGGAGCAGCTGAAAAAGGAAGAAAATGAGGAACAAAGTGCGGGAGGAGACGAAGGAAAAAGAAAAGAGTCGCACGTACACACAACGAGTATAGAGAGGCGCACTGCAGGTAGAGGCGAGAGGACGACCCTGACCGTGAAGCCTTGGCTCTTTTCCTCTCTCTCTCTCTCTCTCTCTCTCTTTAATCCGTATACAAATGCCACACCAAACGTCGGCCGTTACAGAGGAGACGAGGAAGAAGAAACTCGAAACTTTTACTATATACTACTGTATACACTATATGCGTAATACACTACTAAAAAACTACTTCTCTCCTCGCCCCCTTCCACCCTTCCACCTTGTAAAGATCAGCATCAGCAGCATCGCGCAAAGGCACATACGTGACATTATAACGTATTTATACGTGTGTAAGTGCGCACATTCACGCGGGGGCGAGAGCAAGAAAGGGGACCTTCTTTCTTCCTTCTCTATCTCTTTCTATACATATAATCCTCGTTTTTCTTTCAACGGAGCGCGATGAGAAAGAGCTGCCCCCTTTGCCTCCTCTCTCTCTCTCTCTCTCTCACTCTACGCACATGTATACATTTATGTATATACACGCAGTGTACAACATCGTACGCAAGATTATATTTATATATTGTATACCGTTTGTCGTGTATAGTATAGCTGCATCGGTTGCTCCTCCCGAGCGCGGCCAGCACAGTATCGCCGAGCGGCGCGTAAGAGTCGGACGACGCTGCTTGTTCCTTCAACCGATTCCACGCGCTTGTATACGTCCTCATCTCGGTTTCCATTCATACTTATTTTCTCTGTTTTCGCGAGTGCCGATGAGTTTACGGGTGATATGAAAAAAACAATAACCGATCGCGCGTTTCCCCCCACCCCCCCATTGATCGGTATGGGACTTTGTTTTCTTTTTTTGTAAAATCGACAGCGCGTAAAATCGGTACGCGTCTTTCGATCGCTCTCTTTGTTTGCTGTGATTTTTTTCTTTTTTCTTCCCCCCCCCCCCGTTCTCCCTTTTTACAGCAAAATTCCTGTGCCAATAAACCAGAGGACGAAGAGGGTTTTTTCCCGTGTTTAGCTTTTGATTCCCGGACGACGTCGATCTCGAGGTTTGTACTTGATGAACGCACGCGCGCTACTTACACCGACACCGACTGTCACAGTTCGTTTGTAGAAATTGAGAAAAAAGGCCGTCCCTTCTCTCTTTGAATTTAAATGCCGTGCAACGGAGGAGAAAAAAGAATTAAATTAAATCCCCACAACACGCGTTTTTTCAGCGGTTACAAATTGCTACGTAGGCAATTGTTGGATGTACACTCGGTGTAAAGTTCGGCGCGATTTTGTTCTGCGTATTCGTGCGCCGAGAAAAATTCGCGGATTCTGGGAAATTACTTGGTGTTCTCAAGTTTACGTTTCGAATCGGCGGGTGATGAGAAACGGGATGCAGTGGCAATACACTATTCCAACAATGCAGTTTGTAACTGTAAAGCCATAGCGTCACGAAATTACAATTTCCGTGGCGTTTGTCGGGCTTTTTGTCATTTCGATCTGGGAACTATTATTTTATAGATTTTTCGCTGATAGACTTTTCTATTCGTCACTATAGTCGTACGTTATTTGCACCAAAGTTTACAACGTAATGTATATTTGAAAAATATATATTTAAATAGTTTGACCTTCTTTTTTTTCTACGTTGTTTCATTAAATTTTGCATTAAATTTTCAACCAAAAATTATGTCGCGAAATAATTGGAAAAAACATCCGTGCCTGAGTTTGATCTCTGCCTCTTGATCGCTTCTTTCAAGTGTTTATATCTTTTGTCTCTTCTTTATTTGCGCAGATGTACTATTCTTGTCAATTTTAAATATACACGTTACAAAATAATCGATCGACTCATGGAAAACTGTCGTAGAAACCGAGTATAGAATCAAAATATACTGTCACAGATTCAACTCCCGTAACTGGTAAAATAATTCTTCATGAGTAGACTGATTTTTGATTTTTTTTTTTCCAAAATTTAAAAATTCAAAACGGTACGGTAAATTCAAGCCAAAACAGCATGATAATTTACAACTGGCAAAACAATGAGCTACTAAGATAAGAAACAAGGAAAACCAAGTTATCGTTTCAAACGAACGTGTAGGTCCGAAAAAATTTGAGCTCTTGATAGTTGATACGCCTCCTTTGACTATACGACTCGGAATGTAATTTCAACGATCCAGCAATTCTTGCTGTACTTGTCTACTGCATCGTTTATTCGTTTACTCGCGTAATTTTTATCGACTAATTGAAATACGACGATGATGTATGTTTTATTGACGGAAGAAATTTTTCTTTTTTCCCACGGACAAATTTTAACGACGCGGCACATCCATACACATGATTGAAATTGTCGCGTTGCTCATAATTTCCTGAAACTTCGGAGTGACGCTTGAGTTTTTTGTTTGCAAGAAAAAAAAAAAAAAAAAAGAAAAAAAAAAAGAAAAAAAAATGTCACCAGCAGTTTTTGAGAATCTTATCTCTGGCTGACCTATATGAATGAAACGATTACAATCGGCGAAGAAATGCTTTCTTCTTGATCGTTAAAAACAAACAAAGCAGGTGAAGCGATAAAGAGGGGAAAAAAAAAGATGACTGTCAAACAGTAATTTTGTTTCATTGACCAACGTATTTTGCAACGATCAAGTTATAAGTACACATTGTAAGTAAGTACGTAATCAATATAGCGACGAGTCGACTTGTCCTTTTTATCTCCGCGAGTAGCTTCCGCGCTTCACCTCCAACCGCGAGAATATATGTATATTTATTGTTGTTGTTGTTGTTGTTTTTTTCTTTGACACCCACCATCCAGCGTAGACACCGGCGGCGAATGCATTTCCCGAGCCACCGGCCATGGCAGCGACAATGTAAGCATACATCGCTTGACTGGAATCGCGAGAGAATTAAGAGAGAGAGAGAGAGAGAGAAAAAGCAATAAATTAAGTTCAAGGTTCGCCCGGAAGCTGATGAAAAGGGCCGACGTGAGGCTGCGCAATGAAAAAACGGCGCACTGCCTGTACTGCCAGTTGTACCAGTTGAGCGAGTTGTCGTCGACGCTGCCGGACGCCCGGGGCCCGCCGGTGATCGGCACCGTGGCGTCAATCGTCAAGTCCAAGGGGGGCGCCGAGCTGCACGAGTACGTGGACGCGCTGCACAAGAGGCACGGGTCGCTCTTCCGGGGCAGGATAGGGCCCTTCGAGGCGGTGTTCGTCAGCGACCCCGACGCCATACGCAAGCTGTACAGCCTCGAGGGCTTGGCGCCCCAGAGCGTCGTACCCGAGGCCTGGCTCTTGTACAACGAGAGACGCCAGAGGGCTCGGGGACTGCTCTTCATGTGAGTACACGTGCCCACGCATCTCTCTTTTTCCATTATCGGTTCGTTTCAACTATTCGCTTACTACTTATCTCTTGATTGCGTAAGTGTCTCATTGGAGGAAAAAGTTAAGTGATGGGGCCGAGCAAGTTAGATGCGCCGATTAATCAAAGGTCTTTTTCTGTTTTTTTTCTCTTATTTAATTTCAACTTTGATCATTCCTTGTCTTTCCTTTTTTTCTTCTTCTTCTTCTTCTTCGCACTTGAAGACGCTCATCATTAATAACGCGCTCTTTCCTAAAAACAAAAAAAAAACAATTAATAATACGTGTACATGGGAATGTGCGGATGTATAAATTTCGAACATTTTTTATAGTGTACAGAAAGCGGATTTTTTCTTTTCTTTTTAAAGACAGAATTAATGATAATATCCCTACATGTATATACATCACCGCGGCATCAATAAAACACGTATATATATATTTTTTTTATTTTTACTGCTGTTTTCCGTTCTCCATTCATCCATATTCATGTGACCTCGCGTTCACAAAATTTCATTGATAAATAAACGCGCGTGCCGGTGTACGCTTTGAAACGAATATACTTATTACTTACTTCATCTTTCGCCCAAAGAATCCGCGTCACCAATAAAGTGTAAACACGTATATATATATATATCGATGATAATATTTTCAATAACGCAATAACGCAATAAGGGCCCCTCAAATGTATATATACAAAGCCATGTAAGCTTGCATCTGAATTATTATGATTATTTATTATATTTGTAATCAATAACATTTTTTACTATAATTTTATCATAGTCTTATACCAAAGGCCCATGTATATATATATA